ATCTCCAAGATGTGCAATTTGATATAAGTAACTGAGAAGCAAGAAGACTTCAGTTAAAACATTGTCTGATGTTTGCTGTCAAAATAATGCTCATAGAGCACTTTATAAATAGCGAATCATAATCACAGTATATATTATTGAATCAGCATCTAGCGTTCTAAATCTCTGCTTATCTGAGTGAGTTTTCTTCACCCCCCACCCCCGTCTTTTTTTTAAAAAAGGAAAGAGTGAGGATGAAGAAATTAAAACTACTAGAATTTAACTTGGCAAATGACAATGGTAAGAAGGTACTGGGACGCCACTAGAGTGCCTAGGTTTGGATCCCAGCTCTGCCACTTAGCTAGTCACATAACCTTAATTAGGCTTACTACTTAATCCATCTGTGGCTCACTTGCCGCATATATAAACCAGTACCTTCCAGAACATAATGACTTACGACAGTACATGGCACCTAAGCAACAGTGTTTGTCATATGAACTGAAATATGGATAAATGAAATCCAAAGATAATCTGTAACTATTTCCTATTTCAATCTATAACTAGATCAGATCTAACAAAAGAACCATGAACTCTGGTGATGACAAAAAAAACAAAGAAGAACTGGTACGCAGATATTACAGTATTATTCTGGAACAAAATAAAAAATTATCCAGAGATAATATGTAACAAAATCATCTTGCTCTTCCCTTTGTCCTTGGGCTAATAACACTTTGTGAACTGAATCAAAGGCAAACCAAGAAAAAAAACAGGGAAAGGAATGTAACAACAGATATTCTGCAATATACCATCCTTAACTGAGTGTGCACTGAGATCTTTTAAAGGCAGTTCAATTAAACACCAACGTGCTGGTTGTGTTTATCCTTAAGTCAACAGCACTTTGAACAGTCTCTGGTGTATCAGTGTAGCTTTTAAAAATGACTATATCAGGGCCTCCCTGGTGGTGCAAGGGGTTAAGCACCGCACTGTGAGGCAGTCTGCAGCTTCTGTAGCACGAGCTCAATCCCCGGCCAGCCAGAGAGAAACCCACATGCCAAAGCAGACCTCTCCTGTCTCGTCCGCTGCTCCCCTCAGCAGTGTATTTCACTCAGTCTGCCTGTTCTGTTCCCCACTCTGTCTCTGGTGGATTCTCTCACCCCCCGCATCTCTGACCTGTACCCCAGCTCTTGTATGCATAAATAAATAAATCTTTAAAAAATAAATAAAATGACTACATCAGGGCCGCCCCGGTGGCGCAAGAGGTTAAAATGCAACCAATGAGGGCCTCCCCGGTGGCGCGGCGGTTGGGCACTGGGTTGCGAAGCTGCGCTCAGCCTCTGCAGCGCCGGTTTGATCCCCGGCTGCCGGGCGAGGGTCCCACATGGCGCGCAGACCTCTCCTGCCGCCCGCTGCTCCCCTTAGCAGTGTGTTTCGTTAGTCTGCCTGTTCTGTTCCCTGCTCTGGCTCTGGTGGGTTCTCTCGCCCTCCCGCGCTTCTGACTGTACCCAGTGCTTGTATAAATAAATAAATGGATCTTTAAAAAAAAAAAAAATGCAACCAATGAAACTATCCGCAGCCACTGCAGCACGACTTCTATCCCCTGCCAGGGAGCTTAAACTTTAAAAAAAAATCTGTATCAGAGTCTGAAATACGTGAAGTGTAGAGTGTCAGATCCCCGCATTTAACTCTTTTGAACATAGCAGATTTATACAAAATTATGAAAAAGCAAATAGGGCTAGCATTCTTGAATGATTTATAAAAACATTTTAGGATAAACATGTAAAAAGTTAACTGACACGAACTCCTTATTCAGACAATCTGTCCACATACAGATAATAAATACCACATAAGTTAGTAGACACCATGCCTTTGGTGTCTACTAACTGCCAGAATCAAACTGATGGTAGAACCCCTATCTCCATCATAGGAAAGGTTGCTTTGGCTTAACCTTAGTAAAAGTTTCTGAAACTACAGTGTTGTGCTTAATAGCAGAGACTTTGGAACCAAGTTGTCAAGAGTGCGTTAGGTGATCAAATTAAATTCTAAACAACCCAGTTCTCAAAACTGTAAACAGAATAATGGCAGTGTCACATAGGGAATGTTATACACAAATACTTGTAAAGTGCTTATTAAAACAGTGCTTGGAACAAATGCTCAATTAGATGTTTGACTGATAACAGGTTGTTATAAGAATGAGGTGGCAAATACAGCATGTCTCTGAAGTCCCAAACCAGCACTCTTAAATCTTTCAGATTTCTGCTACAATAGACAATTTCCCACAAACTCAAACCCATTTCACCTGACAAGCATCCTATGTAGCATATATACATACAGTGAATTATTATTCAGGAATTAAAAAGAAATGAAGTACTGATACATGTTACATATAAATCCTGAAAACATCATGGTACGTGCAATGAGTCAGACAGCAACACCAGGAACCCCAAGAGGGAGAGGTGGGGGGGTACTTAATGGGTGGAGAGCTTTGGTGTGGAATGCTAAAAATATTTGGAATGACAACAGTAATGGCTATATAACATTGTAAATGCAATTAATGCCACTTAATTGAACACTTAAAAAATATTTACAAGGCCTCCCCAGTGGCGCAGCAGTTGCGCGGTGGACTGCAAAACTGCCCCCAGCCTCTGCAGTGCTGGTTTGATCCCTGGCCGCCGGCAAGGGTCCCACATAGAGCAGAGACCTCTCCTGCCATGCCCACTGCTGCTCCCCTTGGCAGTGTCTTCGCTCCGTCTGCCTGTTCTGCTCCCTGCTCTGGCTCTGGTGAATTCTCTCACCCTCCCACACTTCTGACCTATACCCTAGTTCTTGTATAAAATAAATAAATCTTAAAAAAATAAATAAATAAATTCGATAAAATGTCCAGTAAAAGCTTGGGAGGTACCACTTCTATAGCTATTGACTTAAGTTGCTGAAATGAAGAACATAACCAGAAGAGAATATAAAAGGAAAAAGACAAAACTTTTGTTTTAAAAAAACTAACACTCGTGAAAACCTGTTGCCTGAAGCTATATCTCCCTACTCCCAACTTTTATAGTAACCAGAAATAAGAGGGTTACTCACTGGTTTCCAAATTCTGATGCTACAAAAAGGAAACCTGTTTTAAGCACACACATGGCAGCAGCAACAGGTACAGTATCAAAATACTTGAGCCGGATCTCAGTAACCTGGAGTGAAAAGAAAAAAAGATTCTAGTATGTAGGCAAATGAAACAAGGCCATGGAAGGGAGCCCAGTATAAAACCATGCAAGCAGAGTAACTAATAAATAGCATTTTTAGTACTTTAGTATCTAAACCAGGGGCCAGCAAACTACAGCCCACAGATCAGTCGAACCTTATTATTTAAATATTGCTATGGCTCTTTTTGTACCATGACAGGGTGGAGTTGGTCGGAAATGTATGGCCACATAAGTTGAAAACGTTAATGACCTGACATTTACAAAAATTTCCCAGAGTCAAATCTTGATTTAAAACAATTAACTTAGAAATTGCCCATTTGTTCCTAGAGCTCTTCCTTAGGATGAAAAAATTAACAGATCATATATATTTCCATCTTCAGGAGACAGGAATGTTTTCCCTTGTTATTCACCGTAAGTGACATTACCCAATCTCATGCACCAAACCAAAACATTCTTAACCACAGGGAGAAAAATCTATTCATATACTAGTCCAAAACTTTAAAGCCTTTTCTGTTTCCATGTTTCTAACTTGTAAAGTACCAACTCACTTATCTCAGAGTCACTGTCGTTGTAATGAACTGGCTCGTAAACCACCCTGTAAACTTTGGACTACACACAAATATCAACTTTTAAAATAAGACTATTTAATTATATTATAATTAGAGTAATAGTGTACAAAGTTTGATCAAACCAGACTAACAAGTGGTATTGAGGATTTTCATTCTTCCCCCCTCCATCTGCTTACCATATCTTCATCTGTCTCCAAAGTTATCTTGAAGATATCTCCCTGCTCAGTTTGGGCCAAAAAGAAGAACATTGATTTGGTCTTATGGGTGGCAGAGCAGACAAAAATCATTCCTCTTTCAGGATCATCCAAGTCATTCTAGCAAAGACAAATACAAAACAACCAACACCATAAATGAGGATTTATTGCTGAAATTTAGCACTTTCACTCAGGTCACCAAGGACCTAGCATCACCTGGAACTTTTCTATAGAAGTTTCTACCCAGAGCAGCCTCCAAGTTGCAGTAAAATACAATAGCGAAAAAGTCCTATCTGGTATAAACACATAGCTTAGATATCAAAAAAGAATTTTTAAATAGTTATCAATTTAAAAAAAAAATTGTACAATTGGGGCCTCCCCAGTGGCACAGCGGGTTGAGAGTAGCGCTGTGAAGCTGTCCGCAGCCTCTGCAGCATGGGTTCAACTCCCGGCCAGCCAGGGAGAAACCCACATGGCACAGCAGACCTCTCCTGTCTTGCCCGCTGTTCCCCTCAGCAGTGTACTTTGGTCCTTCTGCCTGTTGTGCTCCCGGCTCTGTCTCTGGTGAATTCTCTCACCCTCCCATGCCTCTGACCTGTACCCCAGTTCTTGTATAAATAAATCTTTTTTTAAAAAAAAATTGTGCAATTAAAGTTATAATTTAAATAGCTACAATTAAAAATATAGTTATAATTTTGGGCCTCCCCGGTGGCGCAGCGGTTGAGCGCTGGGTTGCGAAGCTGCCTGCAGCCTCTGCAGCAACGGTTCAATCCCCGGCTGCTCCCCGGCCACCGGAGGAGTATCCCATATGGCGCGCAGACCTCTCCTGGCGCCCGCTGCTCCCCTCAGCAGTATACTTCGGTCCTTCTGTCTGCTCTGCTCCCCGCTCTGGCTCTGGTGAATTCTCTCACCCTCCCGCACTTCTGACTGTACCCAGTGCATGTATAAACAAAAACAAACAAACAAACAAATAAATAAATAAAACATGCCTCTATTTAAAAAAAAAAAAAAAGAACAATGTTTATTTCTAAAAAAAAAAAAATAGTTATTATAATTTTATTACACAGACTGATCACATCAACAAGGTAAAAGCTATTATCAAACAAAAATGTCAAGAGATTTGAAATTTAAAGAATTATCATTTCAGGCTGTAAATTGAACTCTCACAATGTCCACAACAATGCGATACAAAACGTCAAAAATCAGCCCTGTCTGATGTCAATTTCCTTGATTCTAAAAATGCAACCCCATGGCTATGATTTTGGATTTACTTTAATGTTTCCAACATGTTTTACTCTTCTCTGTAAGTGCTTCAAGGGCAAAACATGTTTTATACTTCTTTGTCACCCTAAAGCCAAGTACACATATAGTGCATGGCAGTTAGGTGCTCAATAAATATCTGGTTAACCAAATCTGATTGCTTCTCATTCTTTACCAAGAAGAATTTAATTTGCCATATATCTTCCCAGATTTTTAAAAATTGAGGGAATCTTACTCAGAGGCCATATGTTAGATAAGCTAAGTCTAACAGATTTAGCCCAGAGTCCATGTATTAATATTCAAAAAATAACAGGGATGAGAAATTGAGGAAGCAAAAATGAAACAAGATTAATCATTTGTGATAACCGCCAAAGCTGGATACACATAAGTTTCATTATATTCTACTTTTCTGTGTGCTTAATTTCCACAGTAAACTGCGCATATTAAGAACATACCGTGGGTATGGGGGCAGGAAAAAAATTAAAAGCAATGAAATACCTTTACTCAACCACCAGTGCAGTGACTTATACACCACTGGGTGAAAAGATGTTGAGAACAGAATACACCAATTATGAAAAAGAAAACACCCCTTTATAATCAAGAGGAGCAGGCAGATACCACCTTAAGGACCAATTTAGCATCACCAATGAGACATATCAACATTATACACTCCTATGTGATGTAATGTGAAATGAGTATCACCACCATATATTTTTATCAAAAATATTAACCTGGGGCCTCCCCGGTGGCGCAGCGGTTAAGCGCTGGGTTGCGAAGCTGCCCGCAGCCTCTGCAGCGCCGGTTCGATCCCCAGCTGCTCCCCGGCCACCGGAGGAGGGTCCCACATGGCGCGCAGACCTCTCCTGCCGCCCGCTGCTCCCCTCAGCAGTGCACTTCGGTCCTTCTGCCTGCTCTGCTCCCCGCTCTGGCTCTGGTGAATTCTCTCACCCTCCCGCGCTTCTGACTATACCCAGTGCTTGTATGTATGTATAAATAAATAAATAAATAAATCTTTAAAAAAAAAAAAGATCACACTTTCAATTACAAAAATTAAGTTCACTTCACTAACAAAAATATTCTTTCTTTTATAGCAAAAACCTTACCCGTCTCCTAGGAATTGGACAGCGGATGTCCGGCTGGTCACCAAAGTTCTTGTAAGTGATATAGTTTTCAGAGCAAATCAGCACTCCACTCGGACCATCTGACCCTCCCGGAACTGCCAGAGAAAATAAAACTTAGTAATGACTTGATAACCATGAATTACAGTTTAGCTTTCAATTCCTTCCCTCCTTCAACACTGTTTCATTCGCCTACTAGGCTAGACAAGGATGGAATAGAATTGGTTGATGGCAGTTCTGTCCAAAAATCTGATAATGTGGAAAATGTAGAAACAGTTTTAGATCTAACCCTAGGACTTAGTTCTCAGCTTCAGATCTGTAATCTTGACAGTCTACTGGACACATGAACATACCATAGGCAGCCTTAGAAAAACAAGGTGCTGAAAAACTCAAGTTCCTTCCTGGATTCTTCCTGGAGTCTATCGGTTGACAGAAAACCACTATCAACCAATAAACCAAATCCCAAACCCAGACATCTTCCTTTATCTTCTCATCTCAGTCCTAATGGTTCTTCTTCTTCAATAGTTCTTAATGCAATCTCCTTGCTTGTTCTCCTGGCATATTCTTAATATTCTTTACTCCATTAGTCAAAATATAAGCAAGTAACCTTCAAGTTATTTCCATACTTATAATCTTTCCATCGCTACTTCTATCCCAGCCCTTTAGCTCTAATGATCCAATCACAGGCAATGAGATTTCTGGCACATGGTTCTTTCTATATGTTGTTCCCTTTGTCTTCCTCTACCTTCACTGTTCCTAGCTAACTCTTTACTTGTCCTCAGGTGCTAGCTTGGAAAGCATTTCTCCAGAAAACAATTTCTAAGGGCCCCCCTGGTGGTGCAAGGGGTTAAGCACAGTACCATGAAGCTGTCCACAGCCTCTGCAGCATGAGTTTTTGATCCCAGCCAGCCTGGGAGCAGCCCAAATGGCACATACCTCTGCTGTCTAGCCCTCTGCTCCCCTCAGCAGTGTATTTCAATCAATCCGCCTGTTCTGTTTTCCACTCTTTCTCAGGTGAATCCTCTGACACCTCCTCCCTGCACCTCTGGCCTGTACCCCAGTTCTTGCAAGGATAAATAAACTTAAAAAATAATTTCTAGGTCCTCCCCTGGTGGTGCAGGTGGTTGAGCGCCGCACTGTGAAGTTGTCCACAGCCTTTGCAGCACCAGTTCGATCCCGGCTGGCCGGTGAGGTGCCCACATGGTGCCACCATGTGGGCCCACATGGTGCCCACAGCAGACCTCTCCTGTCGCGCCTGCTGCTCCCCTTAGCAATCTGCCTGTTCTATTCTCCGCTCTGTCTCTGGTGAATCCTCTTACCCTCCCGCGCATCTGGCCTGTACCCTGGTTCTTGTGTAAATGAATTAAAAAAAAAAATTTCTAATACATCCCTTTATCTTTCCTGGGTTAGGAATCCCTCCTCCACATTCTCAAGTACTTGGCATACTGTCCTCTCTTGTTATGTATTCCCCACTGAACATAATCTTACATTATGAGAGAAACCGCATCTAATTTTTCATTGCAGGACCCAGTAGAACTGATTTTACACATAGAAGTTCATTTAAAGTCCTCATAAATGAAAAGCTATGCTAATGTTACAGCAAGTAATAAGATGTAAAACCTACATTCAAAGGTTTTTCTGCTAAGTCTCTTCCTAAGATTTAATGCTCAAAAATAAGTCATTTTTACCATTCTCCTTCACAGTTCTTCCCCAAGCCTGCTGAAATTTAGATGACCACATAGTTGTCCTTTTAGTCTTTTAATATAATGAAAACTGATTTTCTCACCTTGCATATCTTTGACCATGGTGCATTCAAGACACCACTGAACTTGATCTGCTATAGATTTTTAAATTTGTAATGGCAACTAGTCTGTAAATTTTTCCTGTTATTGTATTTCCCCAGTTTTGGTACCGAAGTTATTTTCAGGTTGTAAAGCAGGAGAGTAGTTTTTATTTTTTATTGTCTTAGGAGAAACTTATAGTCCCTGAAAATTCTGGACCTTAAATCTTTTGGGAGAATTTTTGACTATTCCCTCAGTTGATGCTCTTCAGATTCTTGATTTTTATTTGATCAGTTTTGATAATATTTCCCAGAAATATTCTATTTCACCTAAGTTTTCAAAGTCACGTATATACAGCTTGATCTTGCTGGATTTATCCATTCATCTGTCCAATAACCTAAGTTTTGCTTTTCTTAATTAGTAAAAGACTGACTGTAGTCAAAATATCACAACAACCACAGTCTCAACATTCCAAGCTGTTTATCCTTTCTTCCCTGCCCCCATTAGAAGGCAAGAGTTAACCACCCCTACATTTCTAACCTCACCAGAATTTAAACACATTGAAGTCTGCTACAAAAGCATTCCCTTCAAAACCCAATTAAGTAAATCCTTCCAAATTCAGGCATAAGATGAATCAGGCAAAAGAACACAGAATAGTCTTGACTAAAAAGTACCTGTGATAAGGAAGTTGCCATGTTCCTCCAAAGGTTCACTGTACTTTCGGACCACATGATTTAAACCAAGATCTAACTCATAGAAAGTAAGTGTCTGCTGTGTATTAGCCGCCGCTTCCCCTGTTGGATCATTGTCTGCTTCCTATAAAGTACAATGGCACAACAACTAATCACTACTATGAAACAAAACTTTTATAGCTGGAAAGGATATTAGGAGTCTCCATTTTAGAAATGAGGAACCAGAGGTCTGTAGATGCCAAATGGCTTGCCAAAGTTTATACCGGAGATAATAACAATGCTGTAACCAGAATGCAAGTCTCTTAACTCTGACACCAGCTTTTTCTCTACTCAAGGATACACCTTTGCATTCAAGGGAAACAGTATGTTCTATCTTTCAGTACCTCCCTGTGAAAAAATACCAATCAATTTACCTCCCTTTTCAGGGAGCTCTTCCCAATAAATACCATTTCCACAGGGAGACCATTCAAACCATTGCTTATTACATAATAAGCTTTGGAACAAAACATTTCAAGAAGGCTTTTGAATACAGGTAAGATTTGTTAACAGGATGGGTAAGACAAGTACAATGAAGAAAACATCTTAGGAAAGCAGTGAGGTGACAGGAAGAAACCCAAAAGAGAGGGAAGAAAAGGGAGAGAATTAAAGAGGGGAAATAGATAGTAAGACAGGCATGATCCCCCTTACCTCATAATCCATTTCCAAACAAGCAAACATTGGATTTTCAAATCCGACATCTACTCCAACCACATGATATACTAAAGTGTTTGCTTTGTGGGCCTCCAAGGGAGATGAAATGGTAAGCCTAGCTGCAGCATCTCTATTTAAAATATACACCAATTTCTGCTTTTCAATAGCACCTGCATTTGAGTAAGAGAAAACATGTAACATTTCCAGTTAAGGAACAAAAGGACTTACAGAACATTTAGTTTCACATCAAAAGTATCTTTAAAAATTAACAGTAACAGATTAACTGTACAAGTGTATTAACTTTACAAGTTTACTAACAGGATTCTGCTATCATTAATGTAGACAATAAAATCATCCATCCCCTCAAGCTTCAGAAATCTTAATATCACACTAACGCGTCAAATCTTTTTAGTGTGCCTTAGCATAATACTAGAAAACAATAATTCATAAAATTGCCAACTTTTATTCTTTCAATTAAATCTAGTGATTGTGTGACTGGTCAGAGAAAATTGCCCGCTGGAGGCCTGATCAGATACACAGAAGTTTCTTCAAGAGATTTGTCAGAGAAGAGACATGAATGTGGATCATCACTTCAGGCTGATGAAAGCAATCATATTCATCATCTAGTAACATGAAACCATTTAAGTGTAGTCTTTTTGCTACAAATAAAGAAATGGAAAAATATCCATTTTCAACTGAAGTGTAAGTAGAAAGGTGTGTTAAGACTTTTCCATGGTTTGAAAGGTACAACTTTAAACCATGGAGTAAACCAAATATGATCCAAACTTTACCCAGTTGTAATTTATTAGCACAACACCAAAATCGTAGCATTGTTATCTTAAAGCAAGCATCCATAAAAATCCAAGGTGCACTCTTAGAACAAGTCACTCACTAATCATAACAGCACGCCCTTTGGGATCCACAGCTAAGAACTGGCCAGGAACAATGCGGCGGCATCCACTCTTGCCAAAGGTTTCTTGGTGAATTTTCTCAAACATATTCTTAGATGGCTGGTATTCCAAGATAACAATCCGGCCTGAGTCACTGCCAACCACAATGTAGTCTTTAGTGCCACCTGTCAACCTAAAGGCCATGAGCGACCGGATAACACCAAATACTTCCACAGTTAGTAGGGTGTGCACTTTGCCAGTGTTGGGGTCAGGGCGAAGCAGCTCCAAGATTTTCCCACGGGAAACAACAATTTCCTGTTGTTTGGTTCCTAGATTGCCAAAAAATAAAATCCATGAACAGTGAGATTTAACGTAAAAAGTAATCTGAATGGACAATAATTCCACTAAAGATAACTAAACAAGTCTGAAGTTCACCATATTAACTTACTCTATTTGGACAAGTACTTTCTCTAGAATTGAAATGATCTGCTGGAAGTAATATCGAATCAAATAAAAAATGGTCCCAGTTAACTTTCTTAAAAACTTTTCCCCTTCAGATTGATCATCAATCTGTACAATTAGGAGCTATCTATAACTAGAAGCTGATATATATTTTGTTTCCTAAGATTAAAAATCTCTAAATGGGCCTCCCTGGTGGCGCAAGGGGTTAAGCATCAGCACTATGAAGCTATCCACAGCCACTGCAGCATTAGTTCAATCCCCAGCCAAGGAGGTGACCCACATGGTACTTCAGACCTCACCTGACTCACCCGCTTCTCCCCTCAGCAGTATATTTCAGTCAACTGCCCTGGTCTACTCCCCACTCTGTCTCTGGTGAATCCTCTGACATCCCTCACCCCGCAGCTCTGGCCTGTACCCCAGTTCTTGTATGCCTAAATAAATTAATCTTTAAAAAAATAAAAATCGGGCCTCCCCGGTGGCGCAGCGGTTGAGCGCTGGGTTGCGAAGCTGCCCGCAGCCTCTGCAGCGCCGGTTCGATCCCCGGCTGCTCCCCGGCCACCGGAGGAGGGTCCCGCATGGCGCACAGACCTCTCCTGCCGCCCGCTGCTCCCCTCAGCAGTGTACTTCGGTCCTTCTGCCTGCTCTGCTCCCCACTCTGGCTCTGGTGAATTCTCTCACCCTCCCGCGCTTCTGACTGTACCCAGTGCTTGTATGAATAAATAAATAAATAAATCTTTAAAAAAAAAAAAAAATATAAAAATCTCTAAAGGTATTTTCAACTCCATATTCAAAACTATTATTCTAAAAAATCTTATTAACTTTTTATGCAGTTTGATTTAGTATCTGAAAAAATTCTCTAAGCTGTCATCAAGAGTTTTTTTTTTTGGGGGGGCCTCCCCGGTGGTGCAGTGGTTGAGCGCTGGGTTGCAAAGCTGCCCACAGCCTCTGCAGTGCCGGTTCGATCCCCGGCTGCTCCCCGGCCACTGGAGGAGGGTCCCACATGGCGCGCAGACCTCTCCTGCCGCCTGCTGCCCCCCTCAGCAGTGTACCTCGGTCCTTCTGCCTGCTCTGCTCCCCGCTCTGGCTCTGGTGAATTCTCTCACCCTCCCGCGCTTCTGACTGTACCCAGTGCTTGTATAAATAAATAAATCTTAAAAAAATGTTAGCCATTAAAAAAAAAATTTAAAAAATTTTTTTTCATAAAAAAAATTAAAAAAAAAAAAAGTTTTTTTTTTTTGTTTCTACATTTTAAAGAGACAGGTTTACTAGAAAAGGAGAAAAAGGGCCTCCCTGCTGCTGAGGAGTCAAAAGTATCAGTGCTATCAAGCTATCGCCAGTCACTGCAGCATGAGTCCATCCCTGGCCAGGGATCTAATCCACATGGCACAGCAGAACTATCCTGTCTCGCCCATTGCACCCCTCAGCAGTGTATTTCAGTCAATCTGCCTGTTCTGCTCCCCACTCTGTCTCTAATGAATCCTCTCACCCCCTAAACCTCTGTCCTACTCTCCAGTTCTTGTAGGCATAAATAAAAATAAATCTTTAAAAAAAGGAAAGGAGGAAAAAAGAGATACTCTCATAATCACAGGCAGGCAAGAGACCTGCTAATGTAAAGTTTTACTTCTAAATTCACTCCTTAAAAGGCCTCCCCAATGGCACAGTGGTTGAGCTCTGGGTTGCGAAGCTGCCTGCAGCCTCTGCAGCGACGGTTCGATCCCAGGCCACCAGCTGAGGGTCCCACATGGCATGCAGACCTCTCCTGCCGCCCGCTGCTCCCCTCAGCAGTGTACTTCGGTCCTTCTGCCTGCTCTGCTCCCCGCTCTGGCTCTGGTGAATTTTCTCACCCTCCTGCACCTCTGACTGTACCCAGTGCTTGTATAAATAAATAAATAAAAATTAAAAAAAAAACAAAAACAAACATTCACTCCTTAAAAAAGTTGACTTGCTTTCCCAATTGCAACACTTTTCTAAAACCAACACTTCAAATGCATAAATGTCAACAGTCTCCATCTCTCCCTGACTGCTACATAATTTCACCTTGATGATTTCTCGTTATCTTTAAATTAAATGTTTAAAATAATTAAGTTCCTCCTTTCCCAAACTTCCTCTCTGGTCTCAACTGTCAATGCCTGCTACCTAGGCTAGAAACTCGCATCCTTCATGTTCTAGATCCACTGCCCTGATACAAACGTTCACTATCTAATGCCTAAATCACTTCCTAGCTGATACCTCAACCCTCTCCATGCCAATACATCATCATTTGCTCAGGCCACCACTTAAGAGGTCACCTTACTTTCCAAAGGTCCTCTGGGTATCGGATAAAATCAAGCATTCTGAAGTGCTTTGGAAACCATAAAGCATTATGCAGAGTACAATGTTCTGCGATGATTTAAAAAATTTCTTTCCTGTAAATTGTTTTAGAATAATATTGAATTTTCAAAAAGGGATTTGAATAAAACTAGCAATATTAAAGATATTAAATTCAGAAAGATAACTACAGACTTACCAGAGAAGTTGCCATGAATGGCAAAGCTGATGCCAGTGGCTCGCTGCAAGGTTAAGTTGTAGAGGAACATGGTGACAGCAACACTGAACTACTCACAACTCCACAATCCAGGCCTCAGTTACACCAATTCAAAAAAAGCTAAGAGCACATAAAAGCGGAAAAATATTAGCAGGGAAATCTCCCCTCCCCTGACCCCCAGATAGGAAGGAGGGGGTAGCTTTGAGTCTCTCATGCATGTAAGGCCGGCCATTTGCCCACAGGATCATGATTAAGGATTTATTTGACCACAGAGTCACTAGGATGAGCTCCTTTTCAGCCACCATGTCTTCCAAATTCAGCCACCTTATTGATAAAACCTAACTTCTTAGACCTGGATCTTCTGGTAGCCAGGAAACATGATCTCGGCCCTGCACAGGGCTTTTAATTGTGGCTTTGACATGATTTGGCAGTGTCTGGACCCGTCCTGGACACTGTGCCCAGGGGTTTCCAACTATACCCTACATACATGTCTATAGTCTAAGACTGGAGAGAGCATGAAGTACCACATAAATGTCCACAGGAAAGGTTATCTCCAAGGTCCCTTAAGGCACCTAAGGCTGCCAGCAGGCTGCATACACTAAGAAAATTGCTGTTTGCAGTCACTGCACACCAGCCCTCATGGGGGAAAAGAACCAAGGTCAGCTTAAATGGCTGCAAGAAAGTTATTTTAAAAGACATTCTGGGGCCTCCCTGGTGGCACAAGGGGTTAAGTGTCAGCACTATGAAGCAATCCACAGCCACTGCAGCACGAGTTCAATCCCCGGCCAGGGAGGTGACCACATTGCGCAGCAGTCCTCTCCTATCTCTCCCGCTGCTCCCCTCAGCAGTATATTTCAGTCAATTTGCCTGCTCTGTTCCCCACTCTGTCTATGGTGAGTCTTCTCACCCCCCTGCCCCTGTGGCTCTTGTATGCATAAATAAATAAATCTTTTTTTTTTTTAAAAGACATTTTGTATGGGTACTGTCTTAAAACAGCACAGAAAATTAATAGAAGCAACTTTAGGGGCCTCCCCGGTGGCGCAGCGGTTGAGCGCTGGGTTGCGAAGCTGCCCGCGGCCTCTGTGGCGCCGGTTCGATCCCCGGCTGCTCCCCAGCCACCGGAGGAGGGTCCCACATGGCGCGCAGACCTCTCCTGCAGCCCGCTGCTCCCCTCAGCAGTGTGCTTCGGTCCTTCTGCCTGCTCTGCTCCCTGCTCTGGTTCTGGTGAATTCTCTCACCCTCCCGCGCTACTGACTGTGCCCAGTGCATGTATAAACAAAACAAACAAACAAACAAATAAATAAATAAATAAACATGCCTCTATTTAAAAAAAAAAAATAGAAGCAACTTTAGAGGAACAACAACAAAAAAAATTAGTGTTTCTATATGCTGTAAGGCAGTATGCTATATACTGTCTCCAACTGCACAAGAAATCTATAAAATATTGTGTTATACTCACTTTAAGGAAATTGAGGTTAAGAAATGAAGCCAGGGGCCTCCCTGGTGGCGCAAGGGGTTAGGAAGCAACCTATGAAGCTGTCCACAGCCACTGCAGCACGAGTTAGATCCCCAGCCGGCCAGGGAGCTACCCACAAGGCACAGCAGACCTCTCCTGACTCACCCACTGCTCCCCTCAGCAGTGTACTTCAATCAATCCGCCTGTTCAGTTCCCCACTCTGTCTCTGAAGAATCCTCTCACCCTGCCACACCTCTGGCCTGTACCCCATTTCTTATATGCATAAATAAATAAATCTTTAAAAAAAAAAGATATGAAGCCACCTGCCTAAAATAACATAAATGGTGAAAATGCTGGGAGTTGGAATCTGTACAATTCATGCAAGCAACAACACACTTAAGACTTTTTTTAACCTCCATTTACCAAAGGATGCTATATGTTATACACTCAAATTATACCGCAGTTATTTTATCTACCTTGGGGACAGCAATAAACAATGTTTCGGTTTTTTTTGTTTGTTTTTTCATTTTTATTTTACAGGCGCAGAGCAGCCCATTAGTGAGTATATTAGAATTCATTTAGTAAATACCCTATTGAACAATTAGTTTGTTCCCACTCTCTTGCTATGAATATGAAGATTGCTGCAAAGAAAATTCTGCCTATTTCAGGTTATTTATGTGTGCATGAATATAGCTCTAATATTAATTTCTAAAAGTGCAATTACTGGATTGAGGGACTCAGATTTGTTTTCATAGAAATTATCTTTTTTTGAAAGAAACTTTTTCTTTAAAATTGTCTTTGAAAAAATTGTTTTACATTTACATCACCAGGAGGGTTAGAAGTCCCTGTTTCTCTATAACCAGGTCTTTGCTAACCTAGCAGATAAAAACCGGTAACTTAGTTTTCATTTGCATTTCTTACATAGTTCCATAATCAAAGAGTAATTAGAATTTGAGATTTAAATCTACTCATCATCAAATTAAAACAAAATAGAATTTGTGCCATTTCAGGAGGAGGCCTTCCTAAAGGAGCAGAGTAACAGAAAAGGACTCTCTTCATGAGGGACTCAAAATTGTAAATGGGGCCGCCCTGTTGGCACAAAGGCTTAATAAGCACAGCACTAAAAAGCTATCTGCAGTCACTAGAGCTCTGAGTTCCATCCCCAGGCAGGGAGGTGACCCACATGGTGCAGCAGACCTCTCCTGACTTGCCTGGTGCTCCCTCAGCAGTATATTTCAGTCAATGTGCCTGTTCTGTTCCCCATTCTGTCTCTGGTGAATCCTCTCACCACCCCCACACACCTCTGGCCTGTACCCCAGCTCTTGTATGCATAAATAAATAAATTAATCTTAAAAAAAAAATCAAAGCACTGTGTAACATAAGTTGGATTTTGTTAAGTGAGAGAATCCCAAATGTTCTCATAAGTAATCACTCTTTCTGAGCTAGGCAAAAGCAGTGTGACTGAGGAAAAAATCAATTTTTCCATGTGGAAATGGTTGTGAAATATAAATTTTCCTGCTTAATATGTTCTTAAAGCACACTGAAAATATTAAAGGTCTGAATATTAAAGAAAAAGAAGGGCCAAGACTTGAGGAAAATAGTAAGGAAAGTTGTGCTCAGCTTAAAATATACAGAAAAATTAGGCAGAGAAAATTTGTAATTGCTCTCAATTGAAAAGTGATTAATATAACTGATTCTTAAACATAATTAAGTATTGATATATTCTCTTACAGCTTACTGAGTACACATCTTCAAACGTAACTTCAAAACGACAGCAATAAAATTTATCATGAAAAACCTATCGTTATAAACCTGACCCACGTTGTCAGATTAACTACAGTAAAGGCAAAGTTTAAAAAAAAAAACAGAAAACAGGGAACCACAAGTAACTTCTGAAGCCCCCACAGACATACAGCCAACTACTTTTCATTCTTGGTGGCTATCTTAGGAATTCAATCTGTAACCTTGGTGCCCTGCACCAAATCCACTTTCCACTTCCTCTGTAACAGAGGCCACCCATTAGGATCCCTGAAATTCATTTTGCACAAAGCTCGTTCAATCCAGTTTCCAGTTCTCCTTTCATCTTGCTGAATAAAGAAATTTATATTGTGAAAAGACCAGTCTAGACCTTCACGGCCTATATTCCAGGAGCCATTAATCGTCAAAACTTGGTTAAAACAAAAAAAATGTTATTCCCACTTCTACCTCCTGCCTGAGATAACGAGCCTAAGATTGCTTCGTTCTTTCTCCACGTGTCAAAGTGTTACAGGGCAGGGAGAGGGGCACGAACCTCCCCCTTTCCTGGGGACCACCCTGTTACAAAAGGACCCGCAATGCACTTAAACTTCGCAAAGCCTTTGCAATAACTAAGACTGCCCCCGGTTCGCAAATGGTGAAACTGAGGTTCTGAGTTGGAAAAAGGCAGCCCAAGTGTTATAGAGCAGCCCCGATACAAAACGGGAAACAGGGTGCCTGACTGTGGGTCCTCACCCGCGCGCTTAAAAGGACTTATCAATGCTCTACTGCAGGCACACCCGAAAGGTTAATAAAAGGTTTATTTACAAGGGAAGGGGAAATGAGGAAATGTACAGCTCAGAGAGAAAAGTGGGAGACAAAGTTTTAATTGCGCCCTACCCGATCCACCGATCTGGAATCCCAAATGGCACTCTGAGAGCTGGCTGCAAGCCAGGAGCCTAAAGCCAGGAGGTCAGCGACAGCGAGCCACCCCAAGGCCCACGTGTTTGGTTTTTATACCCAACCTGGCTGCTTAACTCCACCCTCAGGTCCCAGCCACCCTCCCTTTGGTGGTGATGGGATTTGTCTTTCCCAGTGTCTTGATGGCTTCGGTCTGGAGTGGGGGTGGAGTCCACAAAGCCGGTATGGGATTAGCTCGGGACATCATTTCCCCCTAACACAAGCACCAAAATACTAATTCACAACTGGGTCTTGGCTCCCAAAACTGTTTCCGTTATGTGCCCTGTTCGCACACGCTCGGCCTCCGCACCTTCCCTCCCGGTGTCGTCTACTCTCTTCAGCGAGAAACGTCGCTCCCGCCCCTGCCCACATTTCCCCCGGGTCCCAAGCGGCCCCAAATTAAAAAAAAAAAAAAAAAAAGAGAGAGAGAGAGACAATGCCCGAAAGACTTATTTCGAGTCAGACCTCTTTCTGAACCAAAGGACGGAAGCCGTTTTCGCGTCCGAAGCCTTCCTCATCGCGTCCCTACCCCAGAACTCTCGGGCCTCAACTACCACAGAGACCCCGACTAAAGGCTAGGCCCACCCTCCCACATGGCTGCTCTGCGCCGCCCTGGACCCGAGGAAGTCGAAAAGCCACTTCTTTACCCTGTAGCGAGGAGGATGGTGGCGATACCCAACGGATGCTGACTTTCCTCAAGGTCTAAGCCACAGCCAACGCCAACTCGCCGGCGCCCGCCATTAGCTCTCAAGGCAGGGACCTTTCAGTTGGCGCGCAGCGGAAAAAGGTCCCCTGCCGGCGCCTGAAGAATGTGTACGTATAATTATTTAAATGTTTCTGTATTTTGTCCATGCCTCATTGAAATGTAGCCCAACACAGTTTACGACAAGCGTATTTTCCAGGGGTATAGAAAATGAATAAGTTTTTTAAATAGACTTTTGAAAAATATTTATCAGGCACTTCTGTGGACAACCACACTACCCGACACGCCAGCGAGGAGGGGGCCTTAAGGAGCCGGAAGCACGGAATGGGGACCAAGATGGCGGACTTCGAATCCCCTTCGAAGCTCTTAGGGGTCCTCCCGCAGCCTGATGGGGTGGGAGGAGGTCGCTGCTCGGAGATATCCACTGAGCTCATTCGCTCCCTGACGGAGCTGCAGGAGCTGGAAGCTGTGTACGAACGGCTCTGCGGCGAGGAGGTGGGGGGGCTGAGATTTTTTTTCTTGGAGGATCCGGGCAGTGGGCGTAGGAGCCGTCAATCTTGGGAAATTTGGGGTATGGGACTCTCCTTACCAAGGGAAACAAACAAACAAAAACACCTATTCGGGAAGCACAAGTGTACTTGGGGGTTATATGTAGGGAGGATTGCCGTCTCCGTTTTCTTGACGAGAATCTCAACGTTGTTTTCCATGTTACCAGAGGATCTGATCTCTAGGTTATTCCGCCAGACTGAAGTTTGAGTATCGGCCAATTCGTTTGGTTCTCAGAAGACCAGTAAAGACTGTCTTGCTTTGGGTTTGCAGCTTTAAAATTACGAGACGATTTCGCTTTTAACTCATTTAAGCAGGATGTAACTGCAAATAAACTTGAAGGATTTTAAGACTTCCCCTTGTGGGGAATGATTTGAGGATTTAAGCTTGAGATTTTACCTCTCAGGCACAAATGTCTAATTTTTGACAAGTCATTTTATCTCTGGTACCCCAGACTTTTTAATCAAACGAGGGGTATATTCGCCTTAATTCCGTTTAGGTCATACCGCTCCTTTCTGCTTCCTTCACATTTCTGCCTAATGCTGTCAGTATATTTTGGAATGTCAGTTTAGTCCTTGCCAGTATAAAGAAAGAGATCTAAGCTCTGATCTAAAAGTTTAGTAGATGTTCTTTAAACCGAACTTTTAAGTAAAGTTGCGCACGCAGCAGTTCCAACCTAGGGGAGGATGGATCATTTGATAACTTTGATTTTCAATTATTACCTTGCACCAACTCTAGCAGTTTCTGATACTTTTTTTTCCCCCAGCAAGATGGGTCTTTCAAAAAAAAAAAAATTGGTACTCTAACATACCTGAGTTTGCATTCATTGAGTTTAACTTTTTGGAGGGGAGATAAGGAAATTGTGTGATATTAGACCGGAACAATATTAATCCTGTATTTGTACTTGATGATTATCAAGGAGAAGTTTACCTCTAGATCCTATTGGACCACTTTGTTGTCTTATTGATGACACAGAACATTCTTATGGGATGTGTATTAGCCTGCTTTACAGGTGAAACATAAGAAGGCTACATTAATTGAGGTAATACAGTAAATGACTTGGCTGAGATGGAATGATATTTATCCCCTCTGGGCACTAACTGCACTATAAAGAAACTTTTTGTAACTAACTTAGGACATTTCATTTGTTTAGCCATTATATTTTGAATGCCTTCCTGGGTTAGGCTCTATGCTAATGACATTGCATGAAGGTTTATACACTTTGTGGTATTCATCTGCTAGATGAAATGAAACGAAACATACTTAAAATTATAATCATTATGTAAAGTAAAAAGTACAGAAATAAATTATAGTTTGTTAGAACAATAATTCTAAGAAATAGAATAGAATAATAGAACAACAATTCTAAGGAAGCATGGTAGAAGGAAAGAAAATATTTGAAATGGGACTCACTCTTCAGCTACGTGGTTGGGTTAAATATCTCTTAAGGCCTTCCTCACCATTCTGATGACAGGATGTTTCTCTGTGTTTCAGAAAGTGGTGGAAAGAGAGCTGGATGCTCTTTTGGAACAGCAAAACACCATTGAAAATAAAATGGTCACTCTCCACCGAATGGGGTGAGTCTGTTCCTCTCAACAAGAGCTATTATGAATTCCAACACAGACAACTGGGAAAACTATGTTTCCTAACTATCATAAAATGTCAGGAGAGTTTGAAATGAAGTGAATACCTACAGGTGTAGCAAAATGGTTCTTAAAGTGTCCCTCAAACAGCAGCATCAACATCATTTGAAAACACATTAGAATTGCAAATGCTGGCCCTGAGTCCCAGTGAACCAGAAACTGTGGGGGTGGGGCCCAGGAATCTATATTTTAAAGACATAACAAATGGTTCTGGTGCATTCAAGTTTGAGGAAGTTTTTACAGACTTTATGCATTTGCTAGTCATAAAACATATTCTTTGATCTCATCAGCCTTTTGGTTGATTAGTGTATGTTATGCTCACTTAGCAATTGGGAGAATCTGGTGACTAATTCTAAGGATACTGAGTTCAGTCCCTAACTGGAAGCTAACCCACATGCGGCACAGCAGATCTTTCCTGTCTTGCCCGCTGCTCCCGTTAGCAGTGTATTTCAGTAAATCCACCTGTTCTATCCCCCAATCTGTCTCTGGTGAATCCTCTCATCCCCCACCCCCCACCCCCGCGCCACCACACCTCTGGCCTACACCCCACACACAGTTTTATACACACACACACACACACACACACACACACACTGATAATTTTTCCATCTTTTATCTTCTACACATTTGGATATATGTGTGTTGACAATGTGTGTCTCCAGTCCCAACCTGCAGTTGATTGAAGGAGATGCAAAGCAGCTAGCTGGAATGATCACCTTTACCTGCAATCTAGCCGAGAATGTGTCTAGCAAAGTCCGTCAGCTTGACCTGGCCAAGGTAAGCCCATTGAACTTGTGAGCTTTTGATGTTTGAATTAATAAAGAGCATTAAAAAAGCTATCACTTTAGGGCCTCTCCAGTGGCGCAGCGGTTGAGCGCCAGGTTGCAAAGCTGCTGTTCGATCCCTTGCTGCTCCCCAGCCACCGGAGGAGGGTCCCACATGGCGCGCAGACTTCTCCTGCCGCCCGCTGCTCCCCTCAGCAGTGTACTTCGGTCCTTCTGCCTGCTATGCTCCCTGCTCTGGCTCTGGTGAATTCTCTCACCCTCCTGTGCTTCTGACTGTTCCCAGTGCTTGTATAAATAAATAAACAAACAAATAAATAGATCTTTAAAAAAAAAAAGCTACCACTTTAGAGTTTAGAGCAGCACCATCCAATAGAAATCTAATGCAATATACAAAACCAGACAAAGGTATCATAAGAAAACTTTAGACCAGTAGGTCTTCTGAATATAGACATAAAAATCCTCAACAAAAGCAGCAAACCAGTTCCAGCAACATATAAAAAGGACTGGCAACAAGAAAACAGGATTTATCCAAGGATGACAGGTTTGTGTAACATCTGAAATTCAATTAATATAATATACCGTATCAATAGAATGAAGGGCGAAACCACACAATCATCTTATAGATTAAAAAAAAGCATATGTACTAAAACTGGAATAATACAGACATTAGCATGGCCCCTACTCAGGATGACATTCAAATTCTTGGAGAAGTCCATAATTTTAAGAGCACAAAGGACTATGATGATGGCTCATGGGTAAAATGGTGGTGGGAAAGTTATGGGACTACACCTGAGGAGAGAAACCAACTACTGTGCAAAAATAAATGATATAAAAAAATAAATTTTTTAAATTTTCACCCCTGGGGAAAAAAATTATTTGACAAAATTCAATACTTCTTATGATGATTCACTAATCAAACTTGGATTAGAAGTTAACTTCCTCGGCCTCCCTGATGGCTCAAGGAGTTGAGCACCGCTCTGTGAAGCAATCCACACCTCTGCAGTGCAGGTTCGATCCCCGGCCGGCCAGGGAGAAACCACATGGCGCAGCAGACCTCTCCTGTCTCGCCCGCTGCTCCCCTCAGCAGTGTATTTCGGTCAGTCTGCCTGTTCTGTTCCCCACTCTGTCTCTGGTGGGTCCTCTCACCCCCACATCTCTGACCTGTACCCCAGCTCTTGTATGCATAAATAAATAAATCTTTAAAGAAAAAAAGAAGTTAACTTCCTCAACATGGTAAAAGCCATCTAAGAAAAAACCCACAGCTAACATCCTACTTACTGGTGAAAGGCTGGGTACTTTCCCCCTGAGATCATTATCAGAACAAAGTTCTCAGCTCTTGATCCCTCTCTTCAGCATTATAAGGAAGGTTCTAGTCAAGGCAGTCAGGCAAGAATTTGAAAGCTGTATAAAATGAGGAAAAAGAAATCTAATATGAACCACATAATACTCAATTCTCTAGTAGCCTTTTTTTAAAAAAATAAAACTGAAGGGAAAATAATTTTCATAATGTTTTTAGTCCATTATATCCAAAATACATTTAAATATGTAATTACTATACAAAGACATTAATGAAATATTTAACCATTTTTATTTTTGTACTAGCTCTTTGAAACCAAGTATGTATTTTAAGCATACGCATCTTAATTGGGACCAGCCGTTTTTCAAGAGCTCAATAGCCACAAATGGTTGTTGCAACTCTATTGAATAGCACAAGGTTTAGTCTCTTGCATAATTCAATCCCAGGCTCCATTTGCCCTGTGAAATAGAATAACCCTTCCTAATCTATTTGTTTAGATTCTGCAAAAATAATTTACCACAAAACATGATAGCCACACATATTAAAGTTTTTTAAAACATTCTTGTTTATTCTAAAAGTAAAATATTTTCCATCTATTTTCTACTTGTTTTAACAATGTCTTCTAAAATGTCAAGTACATTCTGTGATTCTATAATTATTTTAACAACATATGCCAAAAATAAAGAGCTTATCCCTGTACCTACTTCAATGAAAAGAAATGCTCTGGTCACATAAATAAAACTGTGGTATCTATCAGTGGTCTTCATCATCATCAATAACAATTTTGCGCAGTATAGTGGTAGTGTTTTTGAGTTCAGTAGAGAAAATTCAAAGGACCTAGGCTTAAACAGATTCAGCCCTTGAATCTCCCTATCTTCTGGAGAGGTGTTTTTTTTGTTGTTGTTGTTTTTAAAGACTTATTTATTTATTTATGCATACAAGAGCTGGGGTATAGGCCAGAGATGCAGGAGGTGAGAGGATTCACCAGAGACAGTGGGGAGCAGAACAGATGGATCTACTGAAATACACTGCTGAGAAGAACAGGCAAGACAGGAAAGGTCTGCTTCGCCATGTGGGTTAGCTCGCTGGCCAGGATTCAAACTCGTGCTGGAGTGGCTGTGGATAGCTTCATAGTGCTGAGACTTAACCCCTGTGTCACCAGGGACGCCCTGGAGATGTGTTTATGAAGAAGACATTGTTTGTAAGCATCAAGTCTTTGTGTGTGAGTGTGTGTGTGTGTGTGTGTGTGTGTGTGTAGGGGTTGTAGGCCAGAGGTATCAGGGGGCTGGGGAGGATGAGAGGACTCACCAGAGACAGGCAGGGAGCAGAACAGCAGATCTACTGAAATGCACTGCTGAGGGAAGCAGCAGGCAAGACAGGAGAGGTCTGCTGCGCCACATGTAGGTTCCCTCCCTGGCTGGGGATCAAACTCAGGCCATGACAGTGATAGTGTTGAGACTTTTTTTTTTTTTTTAAAGAGGCACGTATTTTATTTATTTATTTATTTGTTTGTTTGTTTGTTTATACATGCACTGGGTACAGTCAGAAGCACGGGAGGGTGAGAGAATTCACCAGAGCCAGAGCGGGGAGCAGAGCAGGCAGAAGGACCGAAGTACACTGCTGAGGGGAGCAGCAGGTGGCAGGAGAGGTCTGCGCGCCATGTGGGACCCTCCTCCGGGGGCCGGGGTGCAGCTGGGGATCGAACCGGCGCCACAGAGGCCGCGGGGAGCTTCACAACCCAGCGCTCAACCGCTGTGCCACCGGGGAGGCCCGATAGTGCTGAGACTTAACACCTAGGCCACCATGGAGGCCCTAAGCACCAAGTCTTTTTGCAGAACCGCCTATATCAAGCCATTCAGAGAGCTGATGACATCTTAGATCTGAAGTTCTGCATGGATGGAGTTCAGACCGCTCTGAGGAATGAAGATTATGAGCAGGCTGCAGCCCACATTCATCGCTATTTGTGTCTGGACAAGTCAGTCATTGAGCTCAGCCGACAAGGCAAAGAAGGTCAGTATCCCCAACTGTGGTAATTAGTTTAGTTACAAGCCTCTGTAGTTAAGAAATTCCCTAGTGTGGTTCTAGATCTGATCTAAGTCCCACACCATCCCAGGGCACTATTGTTCCTATTTTACAGAAAAGGAAACTGATTCTACATCTATTTTTTCTCTGGCCAGTGGCTGCTTTTTATTTGACCATGTTGTCTGCTCATTACATTTTTTTTTTAAAGATTTATTTTTATTTATTTATACAAGCACTGGGTACAGACAGAAGCACGGGAGGTGCGAGAATTCACCAGAACCAGAGCGGGGAGCAGAGCAGGCAGAAGGACTGAAGTACACTGCTGAGGGGAGCAGCAGGCGGCAGGAGAGGTCTGCGCGCCATGTGGGACCCTTCTCCAGTAGCCAGGGAGCAGCCGGCGAATGAACCGGCGCTGCCGAGGCTGCGAGCAGCTTCGCAACCCAGCGCTCAACCGCTGCACCACCGGGGAGGCCCCTGCTCATTACATTTTTTAAAAAATATTTATGCATACAAGAACCGGGGTACAGGCCAGATGGTGCAGGAGGGTGAGAGGATTCAGCAGAGACAGAGTGGGAAACAGCACAGGCAGACTGAAACACACTGCTGAGGGGAGCAGACAGGAGAGGTCTGCTCCACCATGTAGCTTGTTCTGCAGCCGGCGGGGATTGAACCGGCACTGCAGAGGCTGCGGACAGCTTCACAGTGCTGCACTCAACAGCCTGTGCCACCAGGGAGGCCCCTCATTACATTTTTAAAAATAAATTCTTGGCCTGGTATTCTTTGTTCTCAACACACTCTGTATTTCTAGCCTTGTTTCATGCTATTCACTCAGGCATCTATTCATTGTCACATATTTATTGTCCTGTCTGTACACCAGCAACAAATCTTTTCATGTTTCTGCTTTCATTCCTTTCCTTATTTTATTCCCATTGCCCTGGAATGTGTGTTCATATTTAGGTATCAAAATCCTGCCCATCTTTCAGAGATGGACTGTCACCTTCACTAGAAAGCTTTTTCTTATTACTACAACCAGAAATCTGACTCGTGGGCACCTTTCTTATGATGCTGTTGATTCCATGAATTTTATACAGTTATTTGAGCACAATATTTATCTTTCATTTAATTTTAACTTCTGGGGCAGGTTCATGACTGATTTCATTTCTAAATCCATATTGCTAGTATATTTTGTACACAATAAATGCCTAATCCATGTATTTTGTTTTTTTTTTTTTTTTTTATTATCTCACCCTGCCACCTCCTACCTCTGCCCCACCAGAAGAAGTCCAGGACCAGTTTTCATGTAGGATCTACCAAACCTTAAAAGATGAGTTAGGGCCTATCCTCAAACTCTTCAAAAAAATTGAAAAAAGAGGGGATAATTTAAGACAATTTTTTTTTTAAATCAAGTTAACATTGGTTTACAATGCTGTTTGTGATTTAGAGATCCAGGATCTCCCCCTTCAGGTGTTGTTACACCCTCACACCCATCCCCCAAACAACCACAGTCCTTCACTATAGTCCATTTTGCTTTCTTCCCACTTTGCTCTTTCCTTTCCTCTGCCCTCTCTGGAACCTCGAATCTACAGTCTGATTTCTAATTTTTTTTTATTGTTTTGGCTTTATTTGACCCTTTGTTTAATTTTTCTATAATCCACATGTAAGTGAAAACATACAGTTTTTATTTTTCTCATCCTGACTTATTTCACTTAGCAGTTCCATATATTTTTTTTTTAAATAATAAATTTTATTTTTATATTCCCCCATACAATTGCAAACGCCCCATTCTGACCCCAATCCCTCCCCTAATCCATGTATTTTGAACAAATATTGGTGCACAGACTCAGAGACGTAGCCTGAGATAGTACCATTCTTTAATTCTCATTTTCTCCCCATTGCTTAGGGAGTATGATTGATGCCAACCTGAAATTGCTGCAAGAAGCTGAGCAACGTCTCAAAGCCATTGTAACAGAGAAGTTTGCTAGCGCCACTGAGGAAGGCAATCTACCCCAGGTCGAGCGCTTCTTCAAGATCTTCCCGCTGCTGGGTTTGCATGAGGAGGGATTAAGCAGGTTCTCAGAATACCTTTGCAAGCAGGTATGGCTCCTCATTGCTTGGCAGGATAATGGTATGAAAGGTGTGAGCCTCTGAATACAAATTAGGGCACTGAATGGATCCTGTTTCTGTGGGTAACAGGATCTTGCCTCCAAATTTGACTCTACTTTTCTGCCCTTGATCTAGCCTGGCAGGACTGGATGTATGCATTCATTCAGCAGTTATTTGTTGCCAATCTGCTGTGGGCCTGGCATGGCCTAGACATCTGCTGATGCATATTTATTTCCAAGAAACCAAGTGAAAGTAAGGAAAGTTAAAATGCAAATTCTCTGACAAGCTGTCGGCCAGGGTCTGGCTGCTTTTAAGAGCATTTGGAGCTCTTTGTTAGTGGTTTTAACTGGTTAACCAGGCTTAAGTTTCAAAATAAGCTACCGCAGATGAAACAGGTAAAGTCCCTTTAGGTTAAATCCTGAGAAATAATCAGGCCTCTGTTAGTCTCAACCCTTTCCCCCCATCGGTGGAGATGGAAATGGAGAATAGCAGACCCCATTAGGCATTTGTGCAAAAGGGTGGTGGTTCTTTTTTTTTTCCCAAGATTTATTTATTAATGCATACAATAACTGGGATATAAGCCAGAGGCATGGGGGGGCTAGAGAACCCACCAGAGAGAGTAGGGAGCAGAACAGGCAGATCTACTGAAATACACTGCTGAGGGGAGCAGCGGGTGAGACAGGAGAGGTCTGCTGCACCATGTGGGTCAGCTCCCTGGCCGGTTGGGGATTGAACTCATGCAGCAGTGGCTGCCATTAGATTCATAGTGCTGAGACTTTAACCCCTTGCGCCACCAGGGAGGCCCTAAGAGTACACATTTTCAAAGTAAAGGAAATAAAGGAAAGCATTGTTTATACCTCTGAATGGTAAAGAGCCACCACTCTTTTAAGTTCCTTGTGCTTGTTTCATTTCCTTGTCCTTGTTTAAGTTCCTTGTCCTCCCCGAAGCCCAGAGAAGTCCTGCATTCACTTTGAAGCATCAACAGAGAATGAGAAAAAGAGAGCCAGTGGAGCTCCCTTTGGAAAACAGACTGGTCTCTGGTCTGGGAAATACATGTGGATTTTCTACTTTTTCAGGTGGCCGGTAAAGCTGAGGAAAATCTGTTGTTGGTTCTAGGGACAGACATGAGTGACCGAAGAGCTGCAGTCATCTTTGCAGATACACTCACTCTCCTGTTTGAAGGCAAGCCTCTTCTCTACTCTGCGGAGCCTTAAGACACTTCTATATAGCACCTGCATCCTAGCTTTTCTTCTCTCCCATCTAGCTTGATGCCTCCAATTTTATTGTTTACTGTGTCTTGATTCATTGGAAAATTAACTTTCAATTAATTCAGTATCTGATTTGCAAAGATTAGTCAGAGTCTCTCAGGTGTTTTGAGACTCCTTAACCCTCAAGACCCATGCTCTGAGTAAATTTAACCCTAAAATAAGTTACTGGGAAGGGGGTGAGGCTGATAGCAAAGATGGTTGCTTTTGTAGAAACAGTACTGATAGAATTTATTTACATTGGTATCTATCAGCTTATCAAGTCACTGCTAATACACCAAGTGCTGTGCATATTTAACAAACAAATTTGCCTGGCAACTTCTGGCACAGATAAGAAACATTTGAATTCATTTCAGAAAGCGAAGCAGCCAGAAAGGGTGGATTGGACCCTGGGTTCATCCTAGGTGGAAGAAAGTAGTTTATTTGGAATGTTTGAATTCCAACCCTCTCTCTGCCTTATAGGGATTGCCCGCATTGTGGAGACCCACCAACCAATAGTAGAGACCTATTATGGGCCAGGAAGACTTTATACCCTGATAAAATACCTGCAAGTGGAATGCGACAGACAGGTGGAGAAGGTGGTGGACAAGTTCATCAAGCAGAGGGACTACCACCAGCAGGTGAGCTTAGGATGCTTTGGGCGGTTTATAAGCAGCCAGTGAATTGGGGGGAAGGGAGTAAAAAAAAATATTAAGATAGTAGAAACAAATGTGAAATGCAGGCTCGCCAGCATCTTGCCCATCACCAGCTTACTTTGGACTTGAGATGTTGTCAAGATGATGGTGACCTCAGTATAACATTGAGAGGAAATAGAAAGGGCTTCCTGAAAGGATCACAAGAAGCTTTACACCAGTTGTCTATCATGGTACCTTCTGGTGAGATAATGAGAATTTTTTTTCCTAGGGTCCTGGTAAGCATCAAGTATTTTGTCTCAAGTTTTCTATAGTTCCACTAGTGCTGAAGGTAACATTTGCCTTTTCTGAACTATTTTCTGTTCTTTTTTGGATGGCAACAGAAAAAGTACAACTTAAAAATGGGAGTAGCCCCAAGCAGATATATTTATAGGCCTTGAGGCTAGACGAGTCTAGACAGCATTAGCATCACTTTAAGTACAGTACTAGAGGTGAGCATTAGCATTAGCACCTAAATCAAAAACAAATTTGGCTCATGATCCTGAAAGCCACCCTTTGGCTTGCCTGTTAAACAGACTAAACCTAAGCTATCTGTGTATGGGAAGTTTGGCATGACCAGCAAGTGGCAGAGAGAAAGAGGGTAGGGACGAGCATTCTCATTTCTGTGGTGTCTTGCAGTTCCGGCATGTCCAGAACAACTTGATGAGAAATTCTGCAACAGAAAAAATTGAACCCAGGTGAGATAACCTTTCTCTTTTCTTCACCCCATAGGAGTTTGAATTCATAATCATATCATTCAGAGTCTATTCTGTTAAAATGTGGTCTGTGGTTTTAAAATATTTTATTATGACTTATTTTTTAAAAGAATATATCATACAAGCAAAAGCATCTCTGTGATTTGTAAAGAATTACCAATATATCTGAAACCCCAGAAGTTACTACTCTCCTAGAATTTTTCAATTTTTACTTCATCTAGTGAAAATTACATAGACGTATTAAAAGAAAACCTAAACATTCATAAAAATGTATTCATTCAGTCAGCCAGTTTTTACTGAGTACTCTTGGCCAGACACTGGTCCTTTGATATGGGGATATGGCATCCACCACAGGGAGTGAAACAATCGCCGTTTCTTCGTAGTGTCTATTTTCTGTGAAGTAGTCAGATATAGTAATAGTACACACACGGGGCTTCTCTTATGGTGCAGGAGTTAAGTCTCAGCACTATCAAGCTATTGCTGGCCACTGCAGTGTGAGTTTCATCCCCAGCCAGGGAGGTGACCCACATGGCACAGCAGACCTCTCGTCTTGCCTGCTGCTCCTCTCAGCAGTGTATTTCAGTAGATCTGCCTGTTCTGCTCCCCACTCTCTCTCTGGTAAATCCTGTTACCCCCTGCACCTTGGGCCTACACCCCAGTTCTTGTATGCATAAATAAATAAAAATAAATCTTAAAAAAAAAAAAAAAAGAGGGCCTCCTTGGTGGCGCAGGCAGTTGAGTGTAGCACTGTGAAGGTGTCTGCAGCCTCTGCAGTGCCAGTTCGATCCCCGCCCGCCATGGAGCAACCCACAGGGCAAGGCAGACCTCTACTGTCTCGCCCACTGCTCCCCTCAGCAGTCTATTTCAGTCTGCCTGCCTGTTCAGTTCCCCACTCTGTCTCTGATGAATCCTCTCCCCCTCCTGCACATCTGGTCTGTAATCCGGTTCTTGTATGAATAAATAAATCTTTGAAAAAAAAAATGTGGTTGACAGCTGTCTCTATTGTAATGGGGCTGAAGGAGCCAGGGTGACCATTCAGCAGAGCTGACCTTTTCCAGTCAGCGCCCAGTGGGGAGGGGGAGTTAGGGACTGTTACTGCCTTCTAACTCTTGTATCTAAGGGAATCCAGTATTTTCTGGCTCATTCCTTCTGTTCTGTGGATCTCAGGGAACTGGACCCCATCCTGACCGAGGTTACCCTGATGAATGCCCGTAGCGAGCTGTACTTACGCTTCCTCAGGAAGAGGATCAGCTGTGACTTTGAAGTGGGAGACGCCATGGCCTCAGAAGAAGTAAAGCAAGGTAAGAGTCTCTTCCCATAGACCTGAGGGGGCTAGAGTACAATTGACACTGTTTTGTAATAGATAAGCCACAGATCTCTTGCAAAGAAATAACTGAAACTCCTTAGCTTCTAGGGGTCTATGGGGCCCCTGGGAATCCCAGGAGGAAAGAAATCTAGACTTCTCCAGACTTTAGACTTCAACTGGACCTTTGTCCATCTAATCATCCTGCAGACAAGGAAAGCTAATGCCTGGAATTGTTAAATGATTTTCCTCTGCTCTTCTCCCCCACCGTACTTCCTCACAACTATGGCTTAGGGGTTGGTATTTACGTATGTGATACATGCACCTGGCAGGTAGATAAATAAAACAAAAAGATATCCATAGCTACATGAGGGAGCTTTTGGGAGTGATAGGAATACTCTAAAACTAGACTGTGACTATGTTGCAAAACTCTATAAAGTCATGAAAAAAATCATTAAATTGTAGTGATAAAATTACACCCAATACTTTGGGTGAATTTTATGTTATATACCTCAATATGCTTTTGGGTTATAATATTGAAATATATGGTAGAGTGAAAACAAAGTATACAAAAAGGGTATAGACTAACAAGAAATCCCTTCTCCCCTCCCTCAATTATCCAGTTCCCCAATTACAATTTTTGAAGGTATCAATACTTGGGGAAAAAAAAGGTGTGCCCAGTCCTCTTTCATTACACATTGCCTATAGGATTTTTTTTTTTAAAGATTTATTTATTTATTTATACAAGCACTGGGTACAGTCAGAAGCGCGGGAAGGTGAGAGAATTCACCAGAGCCAGAGCAGGGAACAGAACAGGCAGACTGACGAGATGCACTGCTGAGGGGAGCAGCGGGATGTGGCAGGAGAGGTCTGTCACGCCATGTGGGACCCTCGCTGGCGGGCAGGGATCGAACCTGTGCTGCAGAGGCTGTGGGCAGCTTCGCAACCCAGCGCTCTACCACTGTGCCACCAGGGGAGGCCCTCTTATAGGATTTTAAGAAGACAATTTTGTTCTGCTGGGCAAGTCCATACAGGATTCCCTAAACTGGAAACTTGAAACAGACACTTTGCATGGTTTATGCCCATCATACTGGCATGGAGAGAATTGGAGAGGATTTATGTGAGCCAGGGGTGTTGCCTTGAATTGTGTTTGACAGAGGATGTGTGCTCATTGGGAGTTTGGTGCTAGTTGCTATTAATAATGACTGTCGGTGTTCAGAGCTGTGCTGTCCACTACAGAAGCTGTCAGCCACATGTGACTTTAAATTTAATTAAAATTGAAAAAAATATTTCAGCTCCTCAGTTACATTAGTCATGTTGCAAGTGCTTGGTAGTAGCTAACTTATTATACAACACAGGTATGAAACAGTTCCTTCATCACAGAAGATTCTCTTGGACAGCATTGGTTTGGAAAATGAAATGCTCTGTACCTAACATATTTCAGTCTTTTCTCAGGAAACTTACATCTAGTGAGTCTTACTAATTAATTCTAAGGCAATAATGGAAATGAAGTGGAAAGTTATTGACAAAAAATGTTCACTGTGAAGTCCAATGATCATGACTTCCAATTTTCTCTAATAATGACAAAACATTTGGAAGTCATCCAGGTGTCCAAAAATAGGAGAATAGTTTAAGAAAATACAGGCTATCAGGCCTTCCCGGTGACGCAGTAGTTAAGCACTGGGTTGCGAAGCTGCCCACAGCCTCTGCAGCGCCGGTTCGATGCCTGGCCACCGGCGAGGGTCATACATGGCGTGCAGACCTCTCCTGCCGCCCGCTGTTCCCCTTAGCAGTGTACTTCGTCAATCTGCCTTCTGCTCTCCCCTCTGGCTCTGGTGAATTCTCTCACCCTCCCATGCTTCTGACTGTACCCAGTGCTTGTATAAATAAATAAATAAATCTTTTTAAAAAAGAAAAACTTGATTAAAAAAAAAGAAAAGAAAATACAGGCTATCTACCTGATAAGCTATCACATAAGCATTAAAAATAAGTAAGCTTTTATTTTTAAAAGCTCCCTAGTGGCGCAAGTTGTTCAGCACTGCACCATGAAGCAATCCACAGCCTCTTCAGCACGAGTTCGATCCCTGCCCGGCCACAGAGCAACCCCCATGGTGAAACAGCCCTCTCCTGTCTTGCCCACTGCTCCCCTCAGCAGTGTATTTCAGTCAGTCTGCCTGTTCTGTTCCCTGCTCTGTCTCTGGTGGGTCCTCTCACCCCCCACATCTCTGACCTGTACCCCAGCTCTTGTATGCATAAATGAGTAAATCTTGAAAAATAAGTAAGCTTTAGAGCCTCCCTGGTGGCCTACGGGTTAAGTCTCAACATTATCACCACCATGGCCTGAGTTCAATCCCAGGCCAGGGTGCTAACCCACATATGACACAGCAGACATCTCCTGTCTGCCCACTGTTACCCTCAGCAGTATATTTCAGTCAGTTTGACTGTTCTACTCCCCACTTTGTCTCTTCTCAACACCCCCTCCATTTTTTTGGCCTACATCCTAGTTCATCTACATACACACACACACACACACACACACACACACACTCAGTAGGCTTTAAAAAAAGGAAAAGTAATGTAGAAATTTAAATTATTTCTGAAATAATTTTTTAAAGCAGAACTGTATCTGTACTACATTGTAACCATGTAAATTATATACAGATTTGAAACAAAGACTAAAAAAGGAACCTGAGAGATTGAAAGGAGTTGCTCTATTTCCCTTGAGGAGGAAAAGTGAGTATCCTTTCTTGGCTGTCCCCTAGAGCACCAGAAGTGTCTAGACAAGCTCCTCAATAACTGCCTGCTGAGCTGCACCATGCAGGAGCTCATTGGCTTCTACATTACCATGGAAGAGTACTTCATGAGAGAGACTGTCAACAAGGTAGGAAGGGGCACATCCCTTGGGAAGGGCTTCCCGTCCAAGACACCAGACTGAAGGGAATGGCCTGGGTGCATTGTACCTCTCTGCCCAGCTTTGAGAGTACCCTTGCGTGAGACTGCCTAGCACCACTTTCTGTGGCTCCAGGGCATGTTGGGAATGCTGTTCGTAGAATCAGTGGGCTTACTTGTTCCATGCCTCTCTAGCGGTATGTGGGCAACGAACCCAAAGTTGAAGGGCCCCTTCTGATACCTTACATTCCAGGTAATGGATGTCCCCAAGGCAAAAGTCCCAAATACTTAATTTCCTAACATCATGATCAATAGTGAAATGAGCTGTTACAGTAAGAAGGATCCCCACCAAGGTGTAATCAGAAAAGCCTGGACAAGGCATAGAAAAGGGAGCAGAGCCAGGGCTCATTCCAGAACTATCTAGAATAGGAATATACAAAACCAGGGCCCTCACTGGGTGCTTTGCCTGTTCGGTAGGCTGTGGCTCTGGACACCTGTGAGAAGGGACAGTTGACCTCAAGCATGGTGGATGATGTCTTCTACATTGTTAAGAAGTGCATTGGGCGGGCTCTGTCCAGCTCCAGCATCGACTGTCTCTGTGCCATGATCAACCTTGCCACCACAGAGTTGGAATCTGACTTCAGGTATATTGCTTCTCTTTCTCTTTTCAAAAAGGCAGATAGGTCCTAGCTGTGACAGATTCCTGAGACCCATTTTCTTCTTGTTTTTTTCCCTTATGATTCTCGTTCAGTTCCATACAAATATACATTTCTATTCACAACATCCTTGGTTGCAGGTAGCTCAAAAGGAGCCAGAAATCTTAGGGACCAAATCTGTGTTCCCTCAACTCTTACACTGAACTATTTTTCAAACTGTGTCACCTCCTCTTGATTTTGTGGGTCTCAGTAGTGATAACTGAAAGCCTCAGAGGAAGTAAAGAATTAGCTAGTCTCCTCTTTGTGTTCTTGTCACATCTGTGCCCTTGTGGGGGAGGCTGGGCAGGGGGGTTGGTCACTCTCTTACCCTAGCTCCTCAGATCTCAAGAAGTGGTATCCCCCAAAACAGCAACTCCTGCTGCTGGATCGGTGTAGTGGGTCCCTGGTCCTGGAGGCCAAGTTGAGTTGCTTTTCTGCCCCCAGGGACGTCCTGTGTAACAAGCTGCGGATGGGCTTCCCAGCCACCACCTTGCAGGATATCCAGCGTGGAGTGACAAGTGCGGTGAACATCATGCACAGCAGCCTCCAGCAGGGCAAATTTGACACGAAAGGCATCGAGAGCACTGATGAGGCCAAGCTGTCCTTCCTGGTAGGTAGCCACAACTACTGGTTGGAAACTGAGTGGTTTATCTCAAGATTAAACTATGACCTCTAAGCCACGGTATAATCAGCCTTCAACTGGAGGCTTTTCCTCCAGTTTCTATATGGAAGCCGCACTCTGCCTTTAAGGTTGTGAAACTTTCTTACCCAGGGACCTGTCCTGAGCAGCCCAAAGCAGAAAATACACTGTTCCCTGCCTGGCAGACTGGGTACCATGAGCAATGCCCAGCTGTTCAGGGACTGCACTGAGTGTCGAGCTTGGCTCTTTGCATCTGTGCCAGGCCTCCAGCTGCTTCTCTGAAGCCAGTCCCCAGCGAGGATCTACCAGGGCCGCTTCTATAGTGCACTTAGGCTTTCAGTTTCCTGAGAAAGCTTGCTTATTAAAACCCTTAGCTACATAGAGTAACCATGTAAGCTGAAGCAGTGAGTCTGACCAGATGTGTGACAACTGGGGAAGGAGAAGCATGGAAGAACAAAGGATTTATACAAGGTAACAGCCAGTTTGTAATGAGTCAAAAAGAATAAGTGAGTCCTGAACTCATGACCAGGCCTCTGTGGCACATGCCACCAGAGCGTGAGTGGGAACAGCACTATCATTCTACTCCACCCCCACCTTGGCCGGACTCAGTAGTCTTGGCTCCTGCAATTCAGAGGCTAAAGTAAAGAAGCATCCAGTAGACGAATTCTCAATCAGTAGTCCACTGATGATGTCTCTGAACACCCTGAGATTGGATCCAAAAATGTGTATGTGTTTTTTTTCTGGAAGCAGGGTCCTTCACTGTTACCAGATTCATAAAGACCCCAAAGACTTAAGAGCTGCTACTTTCAGAGTCAGGAGTCTAAACATTCTACTCTCTACCCTGTCCCTGCAGGAGAACCCACAAGAAATTATCACCTCTAAATATGGTAGCTTTGAAGATCTTTGCCAAAATGTCTGGCAACCAACTTCACAGGATCGTAGGCGCTGACTTGAGTTTTTCATTTCGTTTACAATTGTCTTTCATAAGTTGCCTTCATTCTTTCACTAATCTGCTCAGAAAGCTTCATTGACTCCTTGCTCCCTGCCACTCAAGGAAAGCAAGTGCCTGGTCATCTGTTGATGACCCCTTGAATCTGCCCCATCCTGCCTGTCTGGTCTGTTTTCCACCACTTGGCTACATGAGTTCCCATTAGGCCGGCCACTGTGCATTCATTCACCCATTCCCTGCTCCCATGCAGACCAAGAAAGGACGCTGAGTGCTTGGTGACAGGTACTTAACGTGTCATCACACCCACTGCAGCTCATGTTTCTTATGTCACCTTGATTTCTTTGGCTGTCAGGAGAATTCCCCAGCCATGCTGACATGTCATTCACCATGAGGTGGGGATAAGCACAGTGAATCCAGGCTTTCAAGAACTGTCAGTACACAGAAACTCTGAAATCAATGCCACTTGAACCCAAATCCATTTTCCCCTCATGACAGATTTCTCTTGGTGCCCTTAAAAGCCTTGGAAATTTGGTCTTCATCTTCGTCGTGATGGCAGTTACTTCTCTGGAAGCTTGTGATGGTAGCAAGCTGTGTGGCCTTAGGTCATCCATCCACAGTGGAAATGGCCTTGTTCTTTCTGTATTGAATACAGGACACTTCTGAGGGCAACACTCTTAGGAAGAAAAGAGGAACATCCTAATCTCATTCCCTGGGACTCTTCCTTTACCCTGGTATTCTGATACTCCTGACTCATCTCTTGACTCTCTGGCGCCTGTTTACCTCACCCCTACTTCCCTGGCCATCCTCTCAACATACCAGTTCAAAGGGAGTGTGATGCTCTTCAACACTCTTAATTCCACCACACATATTCTATATTAGCTATTCCCAAACCACCTGCTCATGTGGAATTCACCTCACTGCCACCCCTTTCTCCAGGGGACGAGAACTGTACTCACCTTCATGACTGTCAGAATTCTCTTCCAGCTTTTGTTTTATTTTGTTTAAGGTATAACTAACACAACATGTTCACTTCAGGTGTACCATATAACCATTCATATTTGCATACATGATGAAATCATCTCAAATCTAGTTAACATCCATTGCCATACATAGATACAAATCCTTGTGATGAGAACTTTTAAAATCCATTCTCTTAGAAACTTTCAGATATGCAATATGCTATTCTTATTGTCATGTGTTCCAGCCATTTAATCAACCTCAGTTACCAACCCTGCCATACAGCTTTCCTCAAGTGCCTCAGATCAAAACATTTTCTTTCCTCTAAATGGCCATAGCAGTTTGTGCGCTGCCACTTTGGTCACATGCTGCTTTTTTATGATTGGTATTTCTGCAAGGGTTTAAAAGGTAATTGAGTTATGGAAGAAGGAGTGAAGAGATCTGACTTCTAAACCTGGCTCTAGCTCTGTGGCCTGTTTCTAGAATTATTTCCCCCCACTTAATTTTTCTCATGGTTTTTATCACTATCTGACATTATATATCTATTTATTATCTGACTTCCTTTCTGGAATGTAAGCTCTCTGAGAAGGCTGATTTTGGTTTCTACTTGCTTCCTCCCCAGTGCCTACAACAATGCCTGGCTCAGTGGATGCTCAGTAAATATTTGCTGAGTTAATGGTTGACTGATATTGGTGAATCAATTCACCTAATGAGGAGTCTTGTTCCCACCTATTGGCTTGTTCCCACTTGATAGTACTTGTTTTGCAGAGTGTATCAGGGAGAGCCAGGGAGATAGTAGATGAGAAAACACCTCAGAGGTGGCAGGCTCTCAGGAATCAATTCCTTTACGTCAGTATCACTAATCTGTATTTGGAGATTTGGATCCTCAGGATTTCCTGTGGCCTAAAACAAACAGCAAAAGACCTGCCAGTCTTGCGTCACTACTCTGAGGTTGGATGACTTTACTGCCTTGGTGTCCAGTCAGGAGAAAGGGCAGGTCTGGTTCACCATTCTACCTAATCGGAGGCCTGAGCAACCTGCCTGAGGGCAGTGCTATGGATGTTCCTTAGCTCTCCTCTGAGCCTCAGGAGAAGTAGCTAACAGCAGTAGCAGCAGGGAGTCACATGTCCTATCCTCATTTCACAGGTGACTCTGAACAATGTGGAAGTCTGCAGTGAAAACATCTCCACTCTGAAGAAGACGCTGGAGGTACAGGGGAAATTGCCTGTCAGCTTTCAGACCATACTTTGAGAGAGAGTCCTGTACACTGATCCTGGCAGGGGGTGGTGGCACTCCCTGGCATTGAGCCAGCTCTTCTTCAGAGCATTTGAGGGATTCACTCATGATTGTCATGGTCACAAAGCATTTCTAAACCAGTGAGAAGAGATCTGAGCCACATGCAGGAAGATCAGAATTCAAATGAGATCCTCCCGCACATTCTTGGCACATGACCTTAGACAATTTCCTTAACTCTCTGAGCTTCACTTCTCTCATCGAGGAAGAAGCCCTCCAGACTGCTCTACTTTAGGCTTCTTGGGTGGCCCAGTAAAAAGAAAGTGTTAAAAGCACTTTATAAAAATGATAATACCCTTGATGACGTTTATTAGTTGAAGTGAGATAGGGATCACCAAACACTATGAAGCCAGTTCCACATAGAATAGTGGGAATTACCTTGTCAGTCAGATATCCCTGAGTTCAAATCTCCACTTGGCCACTGACTAGTGAGGCAAGTTCTCTATAACCTCATGAGCCTCAGTTTCCTCACTTGTAATACAGGGAGAACAATCTCTGTCCCAAAGGGTGTTTGTGAGAACTGAACAAGATAGCATAAAGCACTTAGTCGATGGAAGGCAGGCGGTGTTAATCAACTATTGAATCAATAGTTAAAATAATAGCATGGAGCAACCACTTTGTTAACTATTAGGAAATGAAGGACCCTACCCCTAAATTCTGCCTCTGGGAGTGGGGGTAGGGCAGGGTCCTGTCTCTCCTGCAGCCTCTGACTGAGGAGGAGACTTGACTGCAGTGGCACACGGCTCAGTGCCCAGGCTGGTGCCAGTGCTGGCTGCAGGCTGAGCAGTCTGAGGGGGCTGGGGCCAGCACACAAGGAAGAGGACCAAGCGGGTGATGGGTTCCCTGAAGGAGTTCACTGTTAACTGGAATTTACCCCACGAAGGGCTTAAAATGGAATGAGTGATACTCCCAAAGGCAAATAGCATAATGCCCGACATGTCGTGTATATTCAACAAAGTGGCTGGCATCATTGTGTTTAAACCTTGGCACCTTAGATTCTTTTCTTGACTTCATCCTTAACATTAATATGTTGTGTTTTGAATTAAAACTTTGGGAAATGTTAGAAATTCAAAACTGAGCTGCTAGAATTAGCCAAGTGAAAGAAAACAAGGATAGCAAAGAGCTAAAGAGAAATAAACAAAAGCCAAGTCCCATAAATCCCACCCCTCCTTAGATGTACATTTCTCATCTCTTTGTTCACCCCATTTGCAGCCCTTTGAGAGAGGTGGCTTGATGTCTGTTGTACAGCAGAGATGAAAGGCTGCTTAAAGGTAGTAAGTGCTGGAGCAGCCATAGGGCTGAGGGCCTCTGCTGCCAAATCACTGCAGTAGCCAAAGCAGTACAAACTCTAAGGAGGCTGCAAGAAATGTGGGCAGCTCCTGGCAACCCCAACCCTGGTGAGCTTCCGTCAGCGACCCTATGGTGTTCTCACCACCTGGGCTGTCGTGTGACAAATAGGAACAGCTGCTCTGGAGCCAATTCTCAGCTTGAATCCTAGCTCCACAATGTATTGCTGTGTGACTTTAGCCAAGTCACTAACTTCTCTGTACCTCAATTTCCTGTCTGTACAATAGAGATAATTGTAGTACCTACCTCATAAGATAGGTACTTTAACAAATAAAAAAGGCTTAGAGCAAGGCCTGGCACACAAGTAAGCACTTAAATTCTAGCTAGAATCAAGACAATCTCCCTTAGGCAGCCAGAGCAGAATATTTAAGCAGAAACTATTAACAGCAGTAGCTACATCTCCTTCCTGCCTCCTGTGCACCAGGCCCTGGGCTAAGCACTGTGTGTGTTGTCTCATCCACCTCATAAACGCCATGGGAATTTGGGTTCCCATTTTATACTCAGATTGAAGCTCAGAACCTTTAAGTCACTAGAGAAAGGTCACTCATCTGATACATGGCTGAGCCACGACTTCAACCTAAGAACACCTGTTAAAGAGAAGAAAAAAAAATTTGGTATGTGTTTCTTCTTATTCACATTCCCTGATACCAGTACCTCCATATTACAAAGGTGGGAGTCAAGTCAGGATAGAATGGCTGTCAGGATAGAATGCCGGTTTTCTGAATCCCATCTAGGGCTTCTTGCCTAGGATGAGTCATAGCTGCTCCCAGAGAAATCATTTTCCAGAAGAAAAAAATGACTGGTTGCATATTGTCATCCTCTACTACCCGTCTCCCCCCATATGCTCCCTTGATCCAGGCCTAGAGAAGCCTAAAAGCTTGGTGTTCTTCCTAGAGTGACTGCACCAAGCTGTTCAACCAGGGCATTGGAGGGGAGCAGGCCCAAGCCAAGTTTGACAGCTGCCTTTCTGATTTGGCTGCCGTGTCCAGCAAATTCCGAGACCTCTTGCAGGTAAGCTCCAGGTTTAACTGCTGACTGAGGCCTGCCTGTGCCCAAGGAGATGTTTCTGGCTTATCATGGGCACCATGTGCACAAGAAAACAGGAAGAGGGGCGAGGGATAAGCACACATGACCCTAAAGTTATTTGAGTCCTTTGAGACCAGAATCTCAGCCTTGTGGCCATTACATAAACAAGCTAGCATTCTGGTCCTCTAGAACCTCCACTTGGCCTGCATGGAGCCAGAGCCCTCAGAAAGGTGCTTTGAGGAAACAGAACCAAATGGTGACCCAAACCTGCTGCTTGACCTTAGCCTCAGGTGTGCCTCTGCCAGGCACTCACAAATCTTATGAGTTTACCAGCCAACCTCAGAGCCCTGTCTCTGGTCTGGACCAGAATCAGCACATCTGCAAAGGAACAAGTTGCCTGGCCTTTTTATTAGGGTTGTCCCTGTTATACTTCAGACAGGGCCTGCAGAAAAGCCTCAGAGCTGGAAGAATGCCCTGGTGGTCAGGGATGGATGAGCAGGGGGAGGGGGTGCTTGCTGCGTCTGATGCCACTCTGCCTTGTCCTGCAGGAAGGGCTGACAGAGCTGAACAGCACAGCCATCAAGCCACAGGTGCAGCCTTGGATCAACACCTTTCTCTCTGTCTCCCACAACATCGAGGAGGTGAGCTAACCGGAATCACCCCTCCTCCCCAGCCATCAGCTGCAGGGCAGTGGGCTGTCTGAACAAACTAGACCCTGTATGCTTCTCAGGCCCGCTGCCCTTGCCCTCAGAGACTGGGTTCCTCCCAGGAAACAGTTTGCACTACAGAGGGGCCTGAGAGAGATGTGACCTGACACATCCTCTTTCTTTGAGGCTCTCTTTGCCCCCCTTTCATAGGCTTCAAAGCTTTTTTTCCCCTAGCTTGATTTCACTTCTAGAAAACATGAGACACAAGAGGGAGTAAAATGCCAGGAGCTCCACCATATCCTGGCCGTGGCTACAGTGAGGGCCTTTGCTGGTCAGATATGTGATGTAGCAGGTCCTGCCAGCCTGGGCATCCAGCTGCTATAAGCTGGATGAGTCAGAAGCTTCAGGAGAGGAAATATCTCTTCCCTCCTGTCTTAAAGGAGTGGAAGGGGGCCAGGGGAAATGGTACCACCTGAGGAGGCCCCCGGTGACCCCCTCCTCTCTGACAATAGGAAGAATTCAATGACTATGAGGCCAACGACCCTTGGGTACAGCAGTTCATCCTTAACCTGGAGCAGCAAATGGCAGAGTTCAAGGTAAGCAGGGGCTCTAGGGACCAGCTTGTAGAATTCCTACCTCTACCCAAACCAGCGGCCTGCTACTTCTCAGCACACGCCTGCTGGGAACCCCGAAAGCCCTTCCAAGCACTGGGCTGTAGAAATAGTCTCAGTGGCCTCGTGTAACTCTCCGTACCCCAAAGACTCCTGTGGAAGCAGAGGGATTAGGTGGGACTTCCGCTGATGTCTGGCCTCTGTGTGCAGGCTGGCCTGTCCCCAGTCATCTACGACAGCCTGACCGGCCTCATGACCAGCCTTGTTGCAGTCGAGTTGGAAAAAGTGGTGTTGAAATCCACCTTCAACCGGGTAAGGTCAAGGGAGCACAGGTCTGAGGGAGACAAATCCTGCACCCCAGGCCCTGCCTGTGTGGGCCCAGTCCTGCCCTGGCTTCTGAGGCTGTGAAGCCTACTGAAGTACACGTGAGGCCCAGTTGGCCTTGCAGCCCAGCACTGAGGGGAAGTGGGGCTGTTTCTGCTTGGCCAAAGGCTAGGCATTGAACTCCGGGCTTGTTTTGCCATGCAGCTGGGCGGTCTGCAGTTTGACAAGGAGCTGAGGTCACTTATTGCCTACCTTACTACGGTTACCACCTGGACCATCCGAGACAAGTTTGCCCGGCTCTCCCAGATGGCCACAATCCTTAATCTGGAGCGGGTACGTGGGGTTCCCTGGCAAAATTTGGATTCCTTCACTCCCTCAAAATCATGTTTCCAGGGCCTCCTGGTGGCCTGGTGGCTTAAGGGGTAAGTGTCAGCGCTATCACCACTACAGCCTGAGTTCAATCCCAGGTCAGGGAGCTAACCCACATATGGTGCAGCAGACCTCTCCTGTCTCACCCACTGCTCCCCTTATCAGTGTTTCAGCAGTTCTGTTCTGCTCCCCATCCTGTCTCTGGTGAATCCTCTTACCCCCTGCACCTCTGGCCTACACCCCAGATCTTCTATGCAAAAAAAGAAAAAAGAAAAGAAAAAAGTCATGTTTCCACCAAGAGCTCAGCGCAGCCCTGCATGGTACCCTCTCCTTCCTGGGCACCCCTCTCTGCCTCTGGTAGAGCCCCAGGCTTTCTCTCAGGAGAGTCCTCTCCTTGATGACTTGTCTGTGTTCTTCCCCCACAGGTGACTGAAATCCTAGACTACTGGGGTGCCAACTCTGGCCCATTGACATGGCGCCTCACCCCTGCTGAAGTACGCCAGGTGCTGGCTTTGCGCATGGACTTCCGCAGCGAGGACATCAAGAGGCTGCGCCTGTAGCTGCCACCATCCTCTCACACTTTGGGGCCCCTCACGTGGCCTCAGCAGAGAAACTGAGCAAGGCTGACTGGTATTGGAGAGCTCAGACAGCCCAGACTGCTCCACTGCTGGACTCACTCTACTCTCTGCCCTCAGACCTAGCTAGATTGTGCTTTGGGGGCATCTTTGCCTCAGCCAGCATGCCCCTGGGCTCTTGATCAGGTGGAAAGTTAAGGCAGGCCCTGTGTGGGTGTCATTCTCGTGCTTGGACACTGCAGCAAACAGGCAGCTCCCTGCCAGCCTAGAAGAACAGGTGCATCTGGGAACTAGGGAGTTAAGTTTAACTCCAAAGAGAGGATGTAGTATTTGTCATCCCCCTAAATAAAGACACTCCTTAGAGACAAGCCAGCATGACATACCCAGGGAAGGCTGGGTGCTCCAGGGCTAGACAGGGACCAGTTGCACCAAAATGTGACGGCAGAAGCCACAGCCTGAGCCGTCTCCCACACCAGGGAGGCACAGGCTACCGCCCACATGAGAGTCAGTACCTCATCCAGTCCTGCACCCTCACCCCTCTTCTTGGACCCTCAGCACCAGAAGCTGGCTCATCCCAGAGGCAGTTTCCTACAATGCCAGGGTAAATGGGAAGTGCTCTTGGCAAAAACAAAAAAAGAGCTTTATATACAGACAAACTTAAAGAGCAGAGTGGTTTATTCAAAGAAGGCTATAGTCCTGAGAAGCCACTGTCCTCAGGTACTGGGTCACTGGGCACAGTTTGTCGTGTTGCTGGTTAAGACCGGGGTTGGCAGCAAGCTGCTGCAGGACCTTACTGGCTCACTGCCTCCGACGTGGATATGAACCCCGCCCCCCATGCTGCTCCTCTCCCCCAAGTCAGCCTGGGAGGGAGTGTAGAGCATGAAGTCTCCACACTGACCTCAAAGGAAGGCCATAGGAAATGCCTCGGGACTCTTCAGGGTCAGCCTTACGAAGGGACCCCTGCCATCTGCTAAAGCTGGTTGGCACTCCTTTCATCCAGGGCCTCATGGAGTGTAAGAGGCCAAGGAGCAAGCTGGGCCATGGGCTGCATGGGACACAGCCTGAGACTTCCTGTGTCCAGATGAAGCAGAGGCCAAGCCTAGACCACTGTCAACCAGGAGGTCATGCTTCTATTTCCAAGCACTGTCTCTGTGTCGCCGAGCTCCAGAAAGCTCTGGGCCCAAACTCAGGTCATCTTCCTTGGGGAGCATATTCACAGAAGTGGGCAGGGAGTAGGAGGCTGAAAGTTCCCACGGGGAAAAGAAAAGGTGCAAGTGTCACTCTGGGTTTTCTCCTCTTGCAGCAAAGAGACATGCCTCTTAAAGGGGCATCAGGTTGAGGTCTCACTCCCCAGCAGCTGCAGGCTCAGTCCCTGAGTGTCCACTTCCACCAGATGGATGCTGTAGTTCCCAAGGCCCTAGGACCGAAGGACAGAAGGTATGGAGAGGGGACCCTGGGCTGCAGGGCCAGGGGATTTGCAGCTAGAGCCCCTGGTCAGCTGTGGGCCACAGTGAAGGCTCCTGCCTCCCCACACCTACTACCAGACCCCATCACTTTCAGGTACCTGAGTCTTGGCCAGCACAGCCTGCAGAGCCTCCTTTTGCCGTGGCTCCTTGGTCAACAGATAGAGAAAGCCCCCGCCGCCTGCCCCTGCCAGGCTCTGGCCGTGCACATGAGGGGCCAGGGCATCCATGATACGCCGCACAGCCAAGGGCTCAGAGCCTGGGGCCATGAGTTTCTTCTGTTCCCAGTACAAGGTCAGGCACTGGCCCAGCAGAGGTAGGTTTCCTGGGGTAAGCAAAGAGGGAAGGGGTGTCCCTGAGCCAGGATATTCACTCGCTGCCCACTTACAGGCTGACATAGTGCCAGGGGCACAACTTGAGTCATGTAAACCTGGGTGTGATGCTGGCTGGAAAGCGGGTGGTAGTGCCCACCTCATGGGGTTGTTTGAGGTTGTATACTGATGTACATAGCATAGCTGGCACAGTTCCCAGCTCTGTTCAATAAAGTGTGGCCACAGCTCTGACTCCCCAATGCCTAGCTATGTGGCCAAGGCTCCTCTCCCATCTGCTTCCTGTAGGTCAGGCAAGAGGATGCATGTGTTGTCCTGAGAGATGGCTCCCACCTGAGTGGGACACCCTGGGGAGGACAGACACTAGGCTTCACTCAGGTGCCCTGACCTCTATGGGACAAGCACCTCACCTTGGCGAAAGGCCTCAGCACATTCATCTGTGTGCCGCACCAGGCTGTGGGCATTCTGCACAACAGCAGGCAGTCGGGCATACCAGTTCCTCAGCACATCCTGCAAGAGGGGTGCAATGAGGAGATGGGTCCAGCTGAGCCATCTACCTTCCTTCCTGCCCCTCCTGGGCAGGGCCCACCTGCAGCAGATTCCGTGCCAGGCGGGTCTTGCCAGTGTACACCAGGAGCAGGTGGTCATTGAGCGTCTGGAGGAAGCCCTCAGGCACAGCGATGTCTTCTACCTCCACCTTCAGTGGCAGCTGAGCCCGGGAGTGCCCCACCTTGATGCCAGGCCTCAGGCCACCCACTTGATCCTGCCAGCCACCTCCTGCAAACCCACAGCCCTGTTACTGTTGGAGCCTATACAGCCCAACCTCTCTCCCAGCCCAGACTCAGTACTCCAAAGACAGTTGTCAAGACACTCAAAAGGAGAGAAGTTCCCCTTGTCTGCCCCCTTTACTAATGACTACCTATCATGGGATGTGACTCCATACTCAAAGGAAGGTGCAGGCTACGGGGTGGCCAGGAAGATGCCATAGTCAGGCACTTGCCTTCCCAGAGTCTTGCTGCAGACGAGGCCTGGCATCCCAAAGTGGGCAGGGCACCCTGGGATCTGGGGCCAAACATCAGGCTGCCCATATGCCTGGGATCCTGGAGAGGACAGCTCCAACAGTGTCATAGTCACATGTGCTGGGCCCTCACTGCCCCCGCATGCGGCCGTGAGGGTGGGGTGAACAAATGACCAAGGAAAGGGCCAGGTGGCCAGAAGGGCCAAGGTCCCCTGCTCCTGTCCCCTTCTCCAAACTAGCTCTGCCCCGCCCAACCCTGAGGGACACCCTGGGTGGGGGTCAGTCCTGAGGAACAGCACCTGGTTAACTAGGTAGCTCACACAAAAGAAGGGGGCAGCACTTAGTAGTTGCTTCCTAAACATCAGCTCCTTTGAAACAGAAACATGTCAAGCCAAAACCCATGGGAGGGAGGAGTAGAGTGACAAGGATTCTGTAAGCATTTGGAGGAGCAGCACGGGAGCCCCTTGAGTAAGTGCCCTCCCTCCCACTCCAGGGCAGTCCCCTACCTGTGGTGAGCACCTGCTCCAGGTGCAGCACAGCATGGATCAGGGCCTCCGTGCCCACTACCCGGCCCGCAGCCCGCTGCAGGGCTGCCAGGGCAGCTCCTGCCAGGATGCTGCTGGTGCCTGCAGGGTGTGGAAGAGGGCACCAGGGCATGAAACAGCTCTGCCAGATTCAGTCCTGCCCCACCCACTCCTTGTGTCAGAGCCCCAGGGAGGAGATCCGAAGTGACTAGAGGGTCGGGATGGAGCTGGTGGGCAGCAAGGGGACAGGACCAACTCACCGAGGCCAGAGCCATGGGGCAGCTCAGACCAGGTGTGCAGCTCGAAGCCACCCCTGAAGGTGCGCATCAGCTGCTCACTCAGGGAGAGCTTGGAGTCGACACTCACGATCCCCGCGCAGATGAAGGCTGCCTTCAGCAGGGCCCCTGCAGAGGGACCACAAGGAATTTGGTCTCCAAGAGCTGAAGCAGACACCCCTCCACCCCCGACCTCCACTTTTGCCCAGCCCAGTGTTGGACTCATTTGGTGGACAAAAGTCCAGCAGCCATGCAGGCCCCATCCCCAAGCCATTCCTGGGCCCTCAACACAGGAAAATGGCTGTCTCTACCTCCTACACCCCAAGCAGGGTGACTTTAGGGCTCTTCCACCAGACTGGTCCTCAGGCCAGCCCCGGTGGTCTGCAGGGCCTCCAGGGTTCAGCCCCACCCCCAGCTGGCTATGTATGCCATCTCCCCACAGATGTCAACACCCTGACCTGGAGCATGGGGCTGACAGTAATCCCGCAGGTCATCCAGGCTCCGGCACGTGATTTTCAAGGCCATCTTGTCCTGCCCAGGTCCCACCGCCAGCCACAGCTCGGGTTCTGGTATGCGGCGCGCCCTAGCTCCGATGGGTCTGCGGCCATCCACCTGCACGGCCAGGCCCAACACTGCCCCACCAAGCTCATAGGCCAGGGGTGGTGTGTCGCTCCAGCCCCCTGCAACAGTTAGACGGAATCAAGCTGGTCACAGGGCTGCCAGCCAGGTCTAGAGTGGCTACCCTTCCCCTCCCACCCCTCACAAGGGACTCACCAGAGAAGTCCACACGGGCTGGGCACTCAGCCACCACCCACTGCCCCAGTGCTGGCAGCTCTACAGGCTCCGTGGAGACAAAGCACTGGGCTGACATCACAGCTTGACGGATCAGGATCTGCACAGCCCCCTCGTAGTGGCGGGCAGCTCGAACCAGCAAAGCTGGCCTGACAGGAGGAGAGTGACAATGGTAGCATGGAGCCCCAAAGTAGGGGTAGATGGCCTAGGTTTGAGAACCTGACTGCCTGGGTGACCCGAGGGCACCCCGCCTCTCCCTGGGCCTCTCCGGGCTTCTGACTTCCAGTAGCACCCACCTGCTCAGCCACTTGTCTCTCTCCCGTGCCAGCGCCTTCACGCCAGCCGCCAGGTCCCCAAACTCCAGGTAGGAGAAGGGCTGTAGCCACCCAGGGTTGGCAGCCGGCCCGCTCCGTAAGCCTCCACGGCCCTCTGCCATGCAGCCCAGTACATCTGCCACACAGGCCAGTGCCCGAGCTGCCACATCAGGGTTTTCAGCTGCAACTGAGGCCCAAGTGTCAGGTGGGTGGGGAGCGGGCCCCACCCTCAACCACCTTTGTCCCCAGAGACTGTCCCCAAACACTCCAGATCCCTCATATCTCTTTTCTTTCACCCAGTATGTATCCCTGCCTATGAATGCACGCCCACTCTCCCCAGCAAAGTTCTCCCCCTGCCAGCCCAACAGAGGTGCACTTCATCACCCCATCAGGACACCCAGAGTGGTCAAATCAGGCTCAGGAGTCAGACCACTTGAGTTCAAGTTCCAGTCCCACCATCAAAGCCACACCATCAGGGGTGTGGCTTACATGGGGGTCATTTCCCACAGTCACGGGCACTGTTAATAGGGTGCTGCCTATGAGGTGAAGATTGAGCCCCCATCCACTCTCCCAGGCCCTCAGGCAGAGCCGCCACATCCCTCTGGGCTCTGCTGGAGCTCTCCACCCACATCCTGGCCCCCACTTCAGAAAATGTGGGTTTTTCTGATGCTCATAGGACACAAAGGTTCAGCCCCAGACCTCAGCCTTGCCCCTGACAGGATGAAACTTCCCAGAAACCTGAAAGTAAACTGCTCTCTCTCTCCCCTGCTTCACAGTCTCGCGGCTCCTAGTATGCTCAGGTTGATGAAGTGGGAGGCAGAGGACACAGTGGCACTGGGTCTGGCAGCCTAGACCCCGGCCCAGCACACTCACCCTGGTCCAGCGTGGCCAGCAGGGGCCCAGGATAGCCCTCTCGGACAGCGGCCCTGATCAGTGGGCGCAGGCTGAGGTCCTGCCGGGTCTCCAGCACTTGCTGAGCCTTATGCAGGGCCTGACGAAAGAAGAGGTCCTGGCGGGAGGCCAGGGTGGCAGCCCGGTCCAGGAAGGGCTGTAGCTGCTCCCAAGACAGTCGCCAGGAGGCTCGCCAGGCCCGCAGGGCCTCACCCCGATCCTCCTGGGGGTCCAGCATCCACAGCATGTCCCGGGGCCCAAGGGCCCTCAAGGGGTGAAGCACGGGAAAGAGGCGGGCATTGAGAAGGCAGCACTCTGCGGGAGGCGTGTCTGGGTCCCACAGGTCCCAGTCTCTGATGTGGGGAGAAGGCACATGAGGGAGGGAAACATGCCCAGTCACCACATCTGGCTGCTTGTCAACTGGCTAATAAAGGGGGACCGGGACAAACTCCTCTGGGGACAGTACGAGCAGGCAATTCAGGGAGGGAGGTCCCACTTTGTTTCCCTGCCCACTATGGAGGTGCTGGGGAGGGTCAGTCGGGCTCCCCAAAACTACCCCAGGTCCTGGGGTCTGGAGGTGGCAGGGCAGGTATTGCTCTGGGGCAGAGGCAGAATGAATCTAGAAGTGGCCACACAGACCCAGTTGTCTAGGCCCACAGACGCCCATCAGGGCCATCAGCCTTACCGAATGCCTGTCTTCTGGAAAAATTCACTCCAGGACATGTTGAGATAAGTGCCTTTTCCCTGTCTCTAGGGGAAAAGGAGAAGCATTCAGGGCTGGAGGGGGGATCGGAAGGGGGACACTAAGCCAGAGGGCCAGGACGTGCACGAGAGAAAATAGGGCACATACTCGAGCACGTTCTGAGACACTCTGTCAAGGCCTGGAGTCTTCAAAGCCCCTTTCCAGGTGCCTAGAACTTGGGGCAGAATCATGTTTTAGTCCCGATTCAGCATAACTGGCTCTACAGCCCAAGGCAGGTCACCTCCCTCTCTGAACCTCAGTCACTGGCCTGTGAAATGAGGATGAAAATCCCCACCCAGGGCCTCCCCGGTGGCGCAGCAGTTGAGCGCTGGGTTGCGAAACTGCCAGCAGCTTCTGCAGCGCCAGTTCGATCCCCAGCTGCTCCCTGGCTGCTCCCGGCCACCGGAGGAGGGTCCCGCATGGCGCGCAGACCTCTCCTGCCGCCCGCTGCTCCCCTCAGCAGTGTACTTCGGTCCTTCTGCCTGCTCTGCTCCCCGCTCTGGCTCTGGTGAATTCTCTCACCCTCCCGCGCTTCTGACTGTACCCAGTGCTTGTATAAATAAATAAAAATAAATCTTTAAAAAAAAAAAAAAAAAGAAAATCCCCACCCAGTTACGTCTCAGCACTATCCCCACTATGGCTTGAGTTTGATCCCTGGCCAGAGAGCTACCCATATGGCGCAGCAGACCTCTCCTGTCTCGCCCGCTGCTCCCCTCAGCAGTGCTTTCGGTCCATCTCTCTGTTCTGCTCTCCACTCTGTTGCTGGTGAATCCTCTCACCCTCCCGCACCTCTGGCCTGCACCCCAGCTCTTCTACACAAAATTAAAAAAAGAAAGAAAGAAAGAAAATCCCCACCCAGCGGGCTTCACAGCAGATGAAAGGGAGGTAAGGGCCTCATAGCCTATCCT